TACACGACTGCAGGGTCGCTCTTCCCGTCTCGATGAAGCCAGTTCTAAGTTGTCTACAGACGACAGCTAGCCAGTACTGAGATTTTCCGGAGTAAGAAGCTGGACATATTATGATAGACTGATCATAAATACTGTATCACGCTGTGGAGAAACTTTGGAAGAATGATGCGGTGTTGAAGCTTTCGAGTGCAAGCTTTCACACTATGGTTCTTTTGTCAGGTCCGAAGAAGAGAAAAAGGTCAGCAGAAGGGCAGATTTTTACATCTGGAGGTGAGGATCTTCCATTTGATGACGATGCCTCGAAGCTGTCTGAAATTGACAAGTTATTATGATCTAGGGCTTCTTTTATCACGTGATCTCTTGACCCGATGCACTATCAAACAAGTCATCCCAGTTCAAGCAATTGTCAAATGAGCTATGACATCAATTTGAGCCATTGCTATTTATTCCTGACATATCCATTAAGTCATGCTAAGGTTACTTAACTCTTGCGTTCTATGATGTGTGGAGGCATATGATATAAGTAAAATACTAACACCACGACGCTACCTGGGGAAAAGATGCTTGACCCGTTTCCTTATTTCCATCTACTCAATGCCAAAAATGCAGCGAAAATCGGCCCAGAGTAGTCATTTGTGGTTCATGGAGTAGGCTATATCCAAGCAACTAAACTTGTGGCCATCGAAGAGATTTCGATATATTATTGGCAGAGCACCTTTTTTCCTTGGCCGGGACCGCAGAATGATATGTCAAAACTTTGTCATCTGTACTACATTTCTATCGCGTGAGTAAAATTACAGAAGCAGTGAAGACTATGGTAGAAGCTACAGTCTGCTGGTAATGATTGATCCGCTGATCGTATCACTCTGTCGTTTATCTTCCAATATAATGACTGTGAAACTTCCACATAACTTGTTATTGGTCAAGCTGTGATGTGCCAGCATATGTGTAAAGTAATTTATGAGGTTCAGAAACTCATCGAAGTGGTAGTAACTCTGGTATGCTGGTTTAAGAGTTCGGAATGACACGGAATGACAATAAAAAGATTCCCGAACCTCATGGCTTTCGCTTTCGGTAATGTCTTTTGCCATTCACGCTGATAGTGCCAACGCGGAGTTGTGTCAACAGAGCCGACAGTCTCCACTTATTCTCAAGGCCTCGGTAGTGACCATTCTATGGTAAACGGGATTTCCAATTACCGTATTCCATGCTTTTCACAAAGTCTAACTTTGCAAATCACATTACAAGTGAAAAGCAGAACCTATCAAAAGTCGGACAAATTCTGAATCTTAGAAAATTTCCACTCTTTTGCTCTTCCGGCGACTCCTCCACGATGCAGACTTCCCCTTCATCGAAGTCGACGTCATTCACCACATAATTCTCTCACCAAAGGCTCCTCAAACAGAAGATTACAATGCAAACATGATAAACCAGAGGTTGAAGGAAATTTGGTCCGCACCATGTGCTAAATGGCGAAATATCTCCCAATAGATAAAAATGCCTTTGAGGTGCATTACATGCTCAGTGAGACCTCTTTGAGTCTGCACATCGAGCTATCACGCCTTAGATTGGAATTAATCTTCAAGTCATAGTCTTCTGCAACCCAATCTCGAGAATACTGTAACCTGGCATGTCAGTTGATAGAAACCAAACCTTTGACTCGCTGATCAGGCTACGTACAACGCTTTTGCTTACGAACCGTGACTCTCATGATCAAGTTGTTCTTATGTTGAAGTAGTCGTATCTTGGGCCAAGTATGGCAGCTACGTTCGTGTCAAGATTGGTCGGCAACTTGCGACCATCATCCATGCGCGTTCCATCGATAATCAACTCGAACGGCTTTTAGACAATGAAAGCATAACTTCAGCTTATCTCCCGTATTTGCCTGATTTTACGTCGGTCTGCATGCCAAAGCCACTCACCAAGAGTACCGACATTGAGGAAGCTCTGTTTATACTTCGGCCCTCGTTCCTGAGGTCTTTTGATTGATTTCGGGTAGAACAAAATGAATTTCTCAAGAACATCGCACCTCTCTCTCCTGTCAGAATATTCTATCCTGATAAGGAGCAACCGATGCAAAGCATCTACTGGTGGTAAGGCTTCGGCTGCCTCACTAAAAACCATGGCTTTCGCGTGGGAACTGCGGCTATAATAGACCAGGATCGTCGCAGGAGCATTTTTTAGCCCAGCACAGAGCCAAATGGCTCATCATTTTCACCTGTCGAGCGAGCTCCATTTCGCTGTCAAATCCAATCGGAAAAGCTTAAGGGCACTCCAGAGTCAAACGTTGCTCCGAATCAAGAAGGAAGAGTACGGAGGTATACTTTAGCTGATTTCGAGAACTACTGTGGTGGCCCAGCTTTATATTCGATTACACTCTTCAAGGAAGACAACATGATCATCCGATGGAGAGCGTTGGCGATGAAGGATGATGAAGGATAGAATTTCATCTGGGCCCCCTAACGCGCTGAATGAATTTAGCCGTCTTCGTGTTTAAAGCCTCTTTGCGTAATCCAAATTTGGCTTTAATAAAGACAAGAAGTTTTAAATGCGATAGACGGACGAGAAGAGTAACGTTATTTTACAAGGTCAATTAGTGGTAGAATATTCCCCAAATATGAGTCTTTTGAAGAACTACCAGTTCGCTTTGTGAGAGAAGCGTCAGGACTATGTCTTTTCAATTTTCAATTTTTAGAGCCTTTGGAGCAAAACTAGAATATGAGAGATATCCTTTCCAGCCCAGCCAAGAATAACCCAGTAAGCGACCTATCCTTGCTTCATGAAAGCTTTATGACTAAGATTTCTTGTCAACACATGCCGTATTGAGTTTTATAAAGGCAGCATATGAGATGCCAAGTTCAGCGCCTCAGTTTTACCGAAACCTCAGCTGAAAACCGAAGCAAAAGTATAAAAGGCCAATCCCACGCACCGATGCAGGGCACGCAATTCGGACCCCACTCTGATAAGCCAACTTAGCAGCATGCCTCGTTGGACTAAGCCACCTGGACGATGTGATTGTCTCTGCATTCGCATCGGCTGCACGATGCCTGAAAATGTTAAAAAAGGCTACGATGCAAGTAGGAATGATGACCGGTACGACCGTACAATATAGATAATCTAACAATAGATTACCGAGGTGTTTAAGTCTGGAGATTCTCATTTGTATGAGAACCTCCTTATATACCAGAAAACTCTGCCTTAAGCTAGTCCTAATTAGATTTCCCAGGTGATGAATCACTGCGGTTGCCGTCATGGCTCATTCATGGCATAAACCATGGTCGGCCACCATAAATCTCAACAGAAAACACCCTCTCTTGAGCTTTGGTTTGCCCCAAGCTCTATATATATTTCTACAAACTGGGCGCTTTTTGTCGGGGACAAAATAGATACTTTTCCTGAGTTTTGTGGCTTTCTGCTCGTGGGTTTTGCGCAGTGTTCAACAATATCTCTTTCTCCCTGTGACTGCTTTGGTGGGTACGCATGCACTGGCACTTTAAGCCGAAACTATATAATTTGATAATCGAAATATATTCTTATTTGTCATATCGATACATGGAGCTTCCGTTCAGTGACAGGCATCCTTGCTAGCTTAATACCGACTAGCAATTAACTACTGAGCTCGGGCTCTACGATGGCAGATAGTTCCATAAATCTCTTTTTCAGTAATACTGACAAGCTACCACAGAAGCTAGAACTTACAGGAGATCATTGAGAGGATTTGTAGAATAAGCCGTGTATGTATCATAGTACCGTGGCCATCAACATTTGATACCCAAGATACAAAGCACGAAAGTGATATTATGGAGGAGATAGAACACCATACACGACATGTTCACAGCAGTCCTCAACTTGGTATTGCCCATCAATAAATGACTCGCACTAGAACTTTGGCACTACGACCGAGAAACAGAAAGAGACATTGGGAACCAGCAGACTTCGGTAACGATTATAGCAGAAACAGAGAAGTACAGGCCAAAGAGTTCCGAAAGACACATAGTATCCACGATAGACCAATTCATTCAAAACGTCTGCGTTACTTGTAGCACACGTCTTCACGCTGCACATGCCAAACGAGTCACTATTCCCGAAGACGAGACTCAATCGCGTGATGAGATTTTAAAAGATGCGTTGGAGACATAGACTGGGCCATTTTGACGTTGAACTGTCTCATGTTACGAAGAATACGTTCCTCGCTCTAGAGCCGGTTATTTCTCGATTATAAGAAGCAACGTTGGAAGAGACGATACAACCGACTGATTAACATCATAGAATTTTTTGGCCTAGAGCACTTACAGTACAGTCACAAACTCACTTCATATACTTTGCACAGACTACATGTACCGTTACATTAGCGAACATGAAGGTCTTGCATAGTCGCGAAAGCAACTTACATCCTATAGATTTCCTTTTTACTCTCAGAAAACTGCCATCTTGTAGTGCGATCAAACGTTCGATGTGACAGATCTACATAACTGAAGATGTTATACGTGTTGTCTGGTAGGTCACTCATGTAACAAATCGCATTTTTCATTCCCGAGCATTGATAACTTTTATTGTTAGATAGTATCTGCTTTGTGAATGAAAGCCACATAGGATTATTGGTATTTAGCAATATTTCACGGGTACTGTAGGCTAGCAACGAGCATCAATCTAGCTCTAATGTAAGGGTACAGCGAGAGGTAAAACTTGTTTTATTTCATTGCGCTAGGTCAGACCAAGTATCCTTTTCAGAATCGATCATCGTTGTAGCGTCTATCTCTCACTTTGTATACACACTGAACCTTTAGATCTAGCAGATCTTCCACCAATCCGCTAACATAGGTATGAGAGCGCAGTCAGTACAGACGGGGAGATCACAAAGGTAGTTGCTTGCGTAGCTTCCCCAAAATCCTCGGACTCTAACCCCTCGCCTGACCAAACGAGCCCTAATAGCGCCCTACGAAGATAGTTGAAAAGGACGTCCCCCATATCATGTGACTACCACTAGCCCCGTTCTATCTCTATTGCTGGAACACAGCCGCGCATCCCCAGTGCTGCTCTACGTCAAAGTCTCCCGGTGATTTCCACAGATCGTTGGTCCACGAGAAGAAGACAGAATTTGAGCCTACCGCTTCAGCAATGGCCTTGACAGCGGTATTCTGCTCCGTGATTCCCGGAACCGCTGCACCGTTTTGATCTCCGGCGTTCGGCCATCCCGTCTCTAGATTGACCACTTCCAGATTATCACAAATTTCTTCAAGCAGGCTGATTTGAGATGAGACAAACTGTCCAGCCTTGGCGGCCGCAACGTCAGCGTTGAAAAAGGGATGGATGTTCGCACCGACGAGATCTACAACGCCACAAAGATTGGACAGCCCATAGTTCTGCCAGACATTGACCGGTTCCGCGGTTGTGACCTCTCCACGGTATCCACTGGCCCGGAACGTAGCCATGGCATTTTTGATAAACTCGGCTAGTGCGGACGCGTCACAGTAGCCATTTTGAATTGCTTCATTACCGACTACAATGAGTTTGACTCGGTTCCACTTTGCCCATTTTGCAATATCCTGAACTTGCTGCTCGGCAGCAGAGGTTCCTGCTTGATCAATATAAATTCCTAGGATAATTTGAAGTCCCTCCTGCTCACACGCCTCACCGATATGGGATAGTGCACTACAGTCAGTCGAGTAAACACGGACACAGTTAAAACCCGCGGTCTTGATCTTCTCAATATCGGCAGCTACCTCATCTGCGCTTTTACAACCTCCAGTCTGTGTGTACGGAGTATATGTCATACCATATTGGTCCTTGCCAGTGATACTTGAGGGATTTGTATTTCTACTCGTCGATTGGGACGTCGGAGCACTGGTGGTTTGACCCACCATATAATGGGAGCTAGTATAATCGTGCCTAGAATTGAAGTCAGCGGGATCAAAACAAGAGTCATCTTCGCGGAGGCTAATTCTGCTTATACTGTCTGAATCGTGAGGTAGGGGAGCAGCACTTGGCTTTGGGGACTTCAGGGAGATATCTGCCACGCTTTGTGTTTTCAACTTGTCCAGGTTTGAGAGAAGCCCATGAGAGTGCCTCTTGTGATCGTGTCTGAAATCGACCGCGGCCCTTGCAGAGGTTGCAGAGCCTGCTAAAACAGCGGTAATCAGGTGTATCTTCATAGCGTATTGATTAAACGCTACGCTAGTAAATAATATGACAAGTGCTATACGCGGATTTTATAAGTCCTCAGATGAACACTTTCTTGATTAAGACCCAGGAATGGTTAAGTTTGGAAATAGAACACCGGAGTGCACTGTCCGAAACGAGTTGTTTCTGAAGCAGTCATATGTGTTTGATATCTGCAGCAACAAATATGACAGGAAGTCTACTTTTGAAAAAGTTGGGGGTCATACCAAAAATGGCTAGTTTATCACGTTATCTGATACCTACAGACCCTTCCAAGCACTTTAGACTATTATGATAACTAATCATCCGTGACCTATTAGTATACTACAATAGTATCATTTGATGAATTTGTTTGCAGCTGTGATAAAGGTATTCATTTGACGTTTCGGCACACCGCTATATTTCGGCACCTCATATATACGTTAGTATGCTTTTATCAGAGAATTGACTGTCTCCAGGGGTGCAATTTCGGGATGAGGGGAGAGATATCGTTGTTTCCGATCGAGGGGACGGCAACGAGGCTTGGCCATATTCCTTGGGAACTTCCTCATCAAACTTGAGCTCTCGTCGGACAGGAACTGAGTAGTATATTGGTGGAGACACGATGTTCTGATTGAAGTCAGATCGTACACTGCAAAGTCTCAGGGATTCTTGTGATTTAGAAGCTCCCATTGGAGGCATCTTGCTAGCGGTGCGTGGGGTGCTGAAGCTACCCATGGCAGGCATGAGAGGACGCTTGGTCTGTGGGGGAGGCTTGTCCAGGGAACTAGGCTGACGATTTACAGATGAGTCGCTAGCAGTGTCGTTGAATGATGTTGATCGCTTGATACTTTCGTGTTGCGTCTTCATGTGGCGCCGAAGGTGCTCAGCACGGGTAAAGACCTGAAACGTGAGCTTGATACAAGCAGAGGAAAACAGTGACAATAGGCTTACCTTGGTGCATAACAGGCAATCATGCACCCGCTTACCCTTTTTGGCCTTGCTAATACGGTTCGTAGGCGTATATGTGACCTTAAGCTCGAAGCTGCGGCTTCCGGTGACAGTCATTTCAGCTTCAAAAGACTCTAGGGAACGGAAATAAGAGAAAGCACCATCAACCAATGTGAATCCAATGTAGATTTATCGCCTCACAACTGCGATTTATAACAATTCTAAATGTAAATGCGGTAGACATGTGATTCCGATAAGTGTAGCCCATTGCCCAGCTAGTGAATCAGTCTTGCCCCACTCCATTGTGACTCAATGACAAAGACCTCTCTAGCATGTCGGCAGCATCAAGTCCCCTCACTCGTGATAACGTCATATAGGTCGATCAGTGTTGCTTGAACTTAGGTTCACGAGCAGCATGAATGAAAAGTTCATAAAGCCAATACCCAGCCTACTCTCGATACGTGAGCGCAATACCAGCATAAAACAAATGAAATTCAACATGATTAACGGTATATATACAAATATGTGTAATTCAATCGTCGTGGGAAATCTGGTAAGTGATTTGCAAATAAGTTAGGGAAATAGACATATTATTCAATTCATATGATTCATATTCGCAAATATTCATGAATTTTCATGAATAATCATATTCCTTTAGGATCCCTAACCATCATTATAACATTGGGACCGCCAGGCAGCTTACACTAATAGCTGGAGCGATCTGTCGAGTATAGTCAATGATGACTTGGCCATCTGGGAAATGAATGAATTCAGAAGTGTGGGCAATTCCCTTTCAGCATCCTCTGAAGCGGAGGAATTTGTGTTTTTTGCCGAATGGGTGTTCGGCCCGACTGGTCTTCCGAACCTACAAGTTCTGGCCTTCGGTGACTTTTCCCACAATGACCAGTTCCAAAAACAACAATTTCTGACTAGGAGGAGACACCATGAGAACGAGCAACGATGCAAAGATCACCAGCAACCCGCTTGTATCCATGAACCTTTGAGTCAATCTTTCTGTGCTGCAAGTTCCGCCGATACTTCCCTCTGGGAAAACCTTCGGATTGGTGGAGCTCGGTTCCTTTCTTCTTGTCCAGCCAGTGGATTGATTGAATCTCCCTTTGAATTGTAGACAGGTACTTTTGCTATTGAAAAGCTAGTAGCTAGATGTTGAATGAAGTTTGACTGGCGTTACCTCCGATCTCATTCCTTTTGGCCTGCAAATGGAATGGCATCCATGGAAGTCGCTGGTCGTACAGAAATTATATCATTGTAGTCGCCTGCATATCTATTTTTATTGCGAGGGGCCATGGTACACAAACACACCCCCGGTGCCTTAGCCTGACATGTATTTTTTGGTAGTACGGTAGTATTCAATGGCATAACTGGAGTATGGGACGTGACTTGGTTAACTCTCTTCAGAAACTTGTACGATCTTGCACAATGCTGGCCGGGCTCCTGATACCCTTCCAGATGAACTTTCTTTCGCTGGCTCGCGTTCGCACTCTCCGTTAACCGAAGACTCAGGTTAACGGGCGCTAGAGAGGCAGGTCCTTGGGATTTCTCTCCCTTTTGCGCATTAGAAAATGCACTATGAAAGACCCCATGAGGTCGATATCCCACCGGAAGAGGCTGAACAGCATGCCAAAAACGAGGTCTTCTGTTTCAGGAAATAGAAGGCCACGACAGGCACCTCCATGAAGTGATCCAGGGATGTTGTATCGCAAAGTTTCAAAGTGACCAAGCACGCTAGCAACCCTTTGTATGGCGCCAACGTCGTCTAAGGGATCTATAACCTTTCCTTTCATAAACTTCATCATGATACAATTTTAAAAACGGGGCAAAATTGGTTGAGGGGACCTGAAAGCGGCGTCACGCTATCGTTTGACAATTGATTGCTTCAGGAGGTCTTGCGACCAAGTGATTTAGCTTGCCGCTATGTTAGGATGCAGCGGCCTTCTGACAAGCAGAGATTTCCCTGAGCGTTGTTCAAATGATGAAGGTGATGTAGAAGCTCACGCTCATTGCTGAAAGCCGATTGCTCTACATTCTCACACCCCGAAAGGAGTATTGAAATTTGGAGTGATCTAGTTCTTGCGAAATCGAAAAGACTGACGTTACTGTTGCATTCGTCAGGTTCTTAAATCATTCCAGAGGTGCCGAAAATCGTGATGAGTTAGGGTACACATGAGAATATAATAGGAATAATAAGCCGTTTTTTGCATAGTAGTGGACCCGGTATCCATTTTAGTAAGGTTGTCGTACTCATAAAGACCACGTTTATTCAATGATTTGGACAAAGCAAGGCTTTGTAACTAAGTGTTAACTATTGAGGCTCTGCCACATTTTCAAGGTATCTGTCATGCAAATTCACGGAATACTAGGTGGTTGTGTTCATGAGAAAAGAAATCATTCAAGTGCGTAGCGCCTCCCTGGCACCGTAGGAGACGCGAAGTCGTTAATGTCATGCCGAGGAAATTCCCACACGGTCGCTTCTGTCAATCTATCATCAAAGGCGATCACGGTATGTTGACCTGCTAATGCAATTCCGCGGCACCCCTCGTACTTTGCTCCGAGTCGGTAACTTTTGACCAACTTGCCCGCCTTGGACCAGAAATGCACGAGTCCCAGCCCTGTGGTTACAATGTAGGTGTCTAGGACAATGGCAGCATCGGAATCTGTGCGCCAGATATAATTTGCAGCCTGGTAGTGATAAAACGCACGTTGCTTCGCTCCATTTGCAATGATTGTATACTTGCTTGCAAATCCTCCAGGGACTTGCTCTTGACTTCGAGTCACATATGTCCCGTCTGAGAACAGCCCGATTCGGATTTCATCGGGGTCTTGGTCTTTTGAGTGGCTTTGAGCATATCGGAGAAACCTACACCGTTGATCCATCATCATGAGGTGGAGGCCATTAAGAGTGGGTCGGTCAAGGTAGGCCACATCCTGAACGAAGAAAATTCGGAGCTCGTGGGCGATTGACCCCTGCAATTTTTTCCATGTCAGATTCCTCCATATGTAGATCTTGAAGTCGGTGTAGAGTGCGATGACAACATTTCCGGCTGGTGATGTGAGTAGGTCCTTGACTATTCCACCGCTTGGTGTTCCTGGCATACTGCGAGACTCTCGAAGAAAGGTATCCCACACTTCAAAGACCATCTCTCGGCGAGATAAGTAGATAATTAGACCTCCTGAGATATGCCACTCAGGCTCCCATGAATACTTCGGGTCCCCTATATGGCAAAGTCGTGAGATTCCGGACGGACGCTGGCCTATTAGTGACCAGTCCGATACCCGACGGATCACGGCGTTATACTTCTCAATCGACCCCTTGCATCTCTCGAAGCCAAAACAAAAGTTTCCCTTGGTGACGAGGACCGGTTTTGAAAGCTGTTGCATACGATGGAAAGTCGGACCGCTGGGCCATCTCGTGACCGACATCGTTGCTTGTGCCTCTTGACTGCGCATAGTATCGTAGTGAAATGCGAGGTATTGACCATTTGGCGCGATGGCAAGAGCGGATGGGTGGCATCCTCTCAGCCTATGCCTTACTGGAGCCGGCACACAGTTTTGGAGGACAGAGAAGTCGGGATATATAGTGATAACATTATGCTGAACAGCGGGACTCGCCAAATAAACCAAAGTTGTATCGTCTACACAATCAGAAAAGTCATGGGTTGCAAAGCTGTGACCGCAAAATTTTGGTCTTAAAGGGTGTCTGCGCCCATATTTTTGAACGCGACTACTTACCCCTCGCACCTGCTGCAGAAGAGGCATTAGGGCAGAAACACAGGACACTCAAATAGTTCGGAAGATTATGTAGCGGCACTGAGGAAGAAATGTAAAACGTCGTCTACGTCCATAGATATTTTATAATGAACGATGTGCTAGAAATTTAATCGGGACTAGATATATATTTAGAATCGAATGATTGCGGAAAGATATGTAATAGACTATTTATATGCACCTTGAATGCAGTAGATCATGAGTAGTTTTCGAAATCAGCTATGCCTACGTGCTCTTGCTTTTTGATTCGGAGAAACTTCTGATGAGTTTGGCGAACCACCGCAGCTTCATATAATGCTGAGACTACCACCTCTTGGTTTACTCCGGTTTCCTATGTCGGAAGCAGGAGAACCAAGACTTGAATTTGTAAGCCACATTTGCGCGCCTATGGTGAAATCTAGAGATGTTGCAATCACCGCCACACTACGGGGAAATTCGAAACCTTCAAAAAAAACATGCCACCCTACATATTGCAGACCAGAGTATCCTGACCTGATTTCACAGATCTAATTTTGTCTGACATGCAATATCAGACCCTTGAATCGCCTATCATGGGGAATACCGCGGTCTTTGGTTTCCCTAGGGCAGGATGAACGAAGTGGAATATACCGCTCCAGATGATGTGGGCCCCAGGAAAGTCCTTTTCCTTTGTGCTATTTTGGGGCCAAGTCTATAGCACCAGCCTTTGCTTTTACGCGGTACATGTGCCTATCCTCAAGTAGCTATGTGTTTTTCAATTCAACTTCTTCTCTATATCGTGAATCGAAGTATATCGCATGATGAAAGATTATTTCAACCACGATCTTCTGATTTAAGATTTGCGAATAGTACAAGACTGAAAGATTGTGAAAATGAAAAGCCAAAGATTGGGGCATTAATGGAACGTGACGCGGTGTTCAAGATTGTAATAACGAATTGGAGCAGATAATAAAGCAATTTCTATTCCTCACGTAATATGAATCATGCCTGGATGTTTCGGACTTTATCATCTTCCAAATAGATGCTCACAGACTGAGCTGTCGCCAAAAGTGAGACTGATGGTCATATGGAGGAAGTTGACGATAAAATGTTGATGTTGACCGTGAGAGGTGGCAATGAATTTTCCTCCTCATGGTACGCTAAAAGTTGGAGCAAGTAGCGAATTCCCGCTATCAATTCCGTGCTGCAATTTGCCGCCTCTGCCATGTCGGCCACAGTCAGTGTTTTGCTGACTATCATGTCATAGATCATTCGTAATTTCCAGCGCGGTAAGCTAAGTGGCGATCTTCTGTCCCGGCCCAAGGCTGTAGATACTCGATTTCGACGTGGCATTATGCTAGACTAAAAGATCGCAGCAAATATGTAACGATGGGAACAAGATCACTTTTCTGTAGGTGATCCTGTCAAGCTTTATAGTTATTTGAGCAAATGTTGCCTTGTCTGGTCAAACCGCGCTAGACCTTTCGTTGACGCCTCTAATCCGGCAAGTCTCTGATATATATAGACCGAGATGATACAATCATGGATCATCATGCTCACTTGCATCAGTACGTGCACTAGACCGAAAGACAAATAATTCTTTGTCAAGATTCTGCTGATATATCAAAGAAAATAATCGCGATGCTACAGTACCACAAGATCATTTCCTGATTTGGGGTGGCGATTGGGATTGGGCTCAGCTTTTCCTATAGCCTTTGCAGCAGCAGCTCCGAGACCAACTAAATCAAGGCCAGTTATTTAAATAATATCGTGCCGATTATATATGTTCTTAGCCACTTATTGACAAGACTAGCCAGTCTGCATCAAGGGTTCTTCTAGTCAACTACGTCACTGAGATTTTGATGTTTCTTATTTCTTACGTAGAGCATAGGGTTCTGAAGACATCGCGGCGCGATACATTACAGGAAATATTACAGTAACTGTAATGCACAGAGTCAGTATCCGAGGAACAATCATTTGGTCGTGCCTCGTGGATTAGAAACACTTCAAACTTCTTAAAACACTCTCAACTGCATATTCACAGCGTGTTTAACTGCCATTATGAAACTAAAAATAGCAGTAGTATCCACAAGTAGCCTTTGTCAAATTTGTCTAGGAAGGACATGAGCTCCGTTCTGGGGATTCCGCCGAGGTACCCGTGTCACATTACTTATTGAAATTTCGCAGGAGATCAAATTTCTATAACTTTTGCTCAAGTTACACAGGGTCAACCGTAAGATGAGGCTTCACAGGAGTGCCCTGCTTATGGCAAGCAGTCTCGTTCCAACTGGACAAGCTTGCGCCCTTCGGCAAGGCACACTTACTCAGCCAGACTTTCAAACAGTCTCGGTTCTTTCACATTCAGGTGGGACGAGTGCGACTTCCTCGCTCATCAACCCGTCCGCAATTACGTGGAAGGAGGCGACCCCCAGTCAAACGAGTGCGTCTGGAGGGACATGCACCCGTTTGTCTCCATGTATTGGTGTAACCACCTACTACGATACGGCAACAAGCTCTCAGAATCCAAGCGCCTGTGGAACCACCAATGATGGGACAAGTCAAAATGTGGTTGCGCTATCCGCAAAACTCAACCCCAAACGCCATTGTGGCAGACACGTCACTATTCAATATGGTAGCGTAAATGTAACGGGCATGGTTGTCGATAGTTGTCCAGGTTGCGATATTCATGATCTTGACCTCTCTCGCCACATGTTCGCTTCACTAGCGTCGATTGAGGTGGGGAGGGTTTACGGTGTTCAATGGTTCTTACATTAAGTGTGTTGTGAAATTGCTGCTATAGGGTGCCATCTATGATACAATCTTATTATGAAAGGGCCTCTGGCTTAGTTTGAAAGTTGTTCGTACCGTTGGCTCATTTTAGTGACATTGATATGGGCAGTTTGCGAAACTTTCTTTAACGTTATATTGTTGAATACATTTTTACAAACATTTCACGCCATTAACTTGGACTTTTTTAAGCATCTCCCAAAGTATCTTCTTGACGAGCTGTGAGGGCGGTTGCGGAGGGATGCACGTTAACTGACTTTTCTGACTGTATCACATGGTCTACTAAATCAGGATATACTAACGTCCCAGCATCCACCCCTGGCATCCCGCCAACGGGCCGCAGTTGAGGGAAAGATAAATTGCTGATAAAATAAAACACTGTAAACGTAGTTTTAAAAACGAAAGACGCTCAGCTCTAAAGCGCTTCGCCATGAGCTATCATATTATGACGCCATAATTAAGCATCCCGCCGAAGGTCCTTTCGCTTCAGCCGCAGCTCAATACGCAATTGAGTCACCTCTGTAAAGCCGATTTGACTTGGATCTCATCTTACTCCGTGCTTGCACCTACGGGAGCTATAGCCAAGGAAATGCAGGGACCAGAGCTTCGGGGTTGGCGGAGACCAAGTGCTCAGCGAGCTTAACGAATTTTCCGTAAACCGCATCTTATCTCATCGAAGGATTCGGGTATGGATGCCAACATTCTTGGCTCCTAAAAGCACCTTACCGCCAGAATCTCCAATAGCGCTACCTAGGTTGGAAGGCCGCCGCTTGTCCCAGTGGTTAACTAGGTAGAGGCTCTATGAAAGGTAGTAACTCAAGAGGCCGGGCAGGTAATATGTGAGTAAGCATAGACGAAAGCTTCTAGATACCCTATCATCTGGATAGCAGCGGCGCAGACCACCAGAATGTGCATGAATGTCCAGGAAGAAGGATCTAGCAGAATTTAAACGGGAATCACGAGGCTGTCAGATTATACCGTAGCCTAGATGTACTGTAGATTATTTCTAGCAATCTGGACCCGTCTCGGTCTTTTCAATTGACTTCATGGCCCTGGTGCTATTCGTGATCCTGGTACGTAATTGCGCCCCTCTAGCACGTCGTGCTGATTTGATTATTGCTAATCCCACCTTTTCGTTGCTTTTTATAGCCCCGGCGGCTTAGGTTTACATGACGGAATAGTCAATCATGGGTGTGACAGAGTCAATCCATGAAATTTATAACATATATCAAGAACAATAGATTAATAGTCAACCAATTAAAATACTAATGGGCTTTATTATCTAGATACAAGATTAAATGTGGTTAGAATTGAGCTAGAAGTTGAAAACATGAGAAATTTGCATTTTGAGGGGTGGGAGCTGGACGTGACACGGCTATTGGTGTCCTGGCTAATAATGAAAAATGAAAACATCGATGACAATTGCTTAAGGTAGGTGAAAATCATAGTGCTTTCTTCCAATCCGCTAATTTTGAGTTCCTAGATTCAGGGACGCCAGCTGATCAACGATATATCTGATAATCAGAATGAACGCGAGAAAGAATTGAGTGATGGCCTGCTGTACTTCCTCCAGGGTCCTGAATATTATTGCTTCCCTCTTTAGTTCCGTGCTTGCAACTCCCGACAATTTTTTTGTCGAAAGAGATTCAGCAACATTCGGGATTCCAACTTGAAGTCCAAGTCTCTGACTCAAATCCAGACATCCGTCATATTCAATTTTCGCTTTTCCATACACTTGTTCAGCGCTTTCCAGGCATTGTCGGGCTAAGTGATTGATTTTGTCCGAAACATGATTACCCTGGACAGACTGATCAGCTCCTCCGTACATGGATTCGCATATTTTGCATGCTATGCTGTAACGTATGTATACCGTAACGAGCGGAGTAACTGTGGCGAAATATTGTAGAGGTACTTCCCCCAAGGACCCTAAATTTCCCACCACCTTGTGTAGTCAGTTCGTCAAACTCATCAGACGTTCATTTCACCATATTCTCCTTACGACACATAAGTCGCTATCAAAATTACATCTGACAAGCGGGGCTATGACAACGGGGAATCTTGACCCCGTGAAACTCCGTTGGATCGCGAATATGTCGCACATACCTATTAGATACCTCGGACTCCTTTCTACTCTACTTTCTATACAAAGTAAGCATAGAGAGCCCAGCAAGTAATGGGGGATAAGCATATTGAAGAAGCATGGAGGTTTTGTCTGATGCGGACGCTGCCCAATTACCCAGGCTTTTAGGGCAAACCCTAACGCCTACTCAATGGAACCATTGACCGCTAGCCTGATTAAAAAGCAGTAAACATATATATCATCGTATCAAAATACCTGGAAATCCGCGTCTATCATGTGCGATGCTTTTATAATCAGCACTCATCTAGTCACAAAGTACGCATTGATCAGCCACAGAAAGGAAAATTGTCGTCGTTCTTATAAAATATATAAATGGATACGTTCAACCGCCTTCGAATTTATGGCTACTGAAACTACCTTGTTGAATAGAATATGAGTTTGAGTACTCCATCAAGATATGATAACGTTCTATCTTAGGATAGTCCGTAGTATGGTGCTAAGATATGGTATTATAAGTATTCCAGGTACTATGCGTATGAGACATGCCTTGAAGGTCAAATAGGAAACATCTTGACGGTTCCCTGATATCGCGAGAGCTATTTTTGAACAATCTAATTGTATTACTGTGGGCATACGTTCTGGGCCACATCTAAGATATCGTTCAGGGATTGGTAGCCTTGTAGTAAGCCACAATGACTAAATGGAACTGTTAATCCACTGTGACCAAAAATGATCTTGCTTCTCCCTTCCTTCTCGACGACTGTCGTCCTTCTTAAAGCTCACTGGGCAGCGTCCACATCAGACAAAACCTCCATGCTTCTTCAATATGCAATTTATCCCCCATTACTTGCTGGGTCTGGCGTGGCTGGCAAACGCTTCCTCCACTCCGTCATTGACCAATTCCAGTGCGACTGACATTGCTACCCGTGATGTTAATGGGTTTCGTTCCGTGGCTTACTTTGTGAACTGGGTATGAGTCTTGAACATATAGTCTACATATAGAGCAGAACAAGTAACTAAAAGCCAACAGGGCATCTACGCTCGCAACTTCCAGCCTCAAGATATCCCAGCGGAGCGGCTTACCCATGTCCTCTACGCATTCGCCAATGTCCAAGTCACCGGCGAAGTGGTTTTATCAGACCCGTACTCGGACACTGAGAAGCACTACTCTACTGATTCCTGGAACGACACCGGAAACAACGCTTATGGTTGTATCAAGCAGCTTTTTCTGCTCAAGAAGAAAAATCGCAATCTTAAGATTCTTCTGTCGATTGGAGGCTGGTCCTATTCTGCTAACCTAAGAAAAGCCTTTGACTCTGAGGCCGGACGCCAGAAGTTTGCAGATAGCTCTGTCGAGATGCTGCAGAACCTGGGATTTGACGGTATTGATGTTGACTTTGAAGTGAGTTCGCTGCCTGGCTCATTGTATTCAAGGCTAATATCAGAAAGTACCCTAAAAATGATACCGAAGCGGACCAATATGTTGATGCCGTACACCGTCTTCGTGAGGTATTTTTCATGCTTCTCTCACTGATGGCTCTGCTAACCATTAAAATTTCCAGGGATTGGATTCATACAGCTCGGCCAATGCAGACGGTTATCATTTCTTACTCACGGTCGCATCTCCTGCCGGTACGTATCTTTCATTTTAAACATTGCTATAATTCTAATCAAAAATCTAGGCCCTTCAAACTACAAAAAAGAGCACCTTGACCAGATGGACAAATACCTGGACTTCTGGAACTTGATGGCCTACGATTACGTCGGGTGCTGGGATACCAATAAAAATTGCCAGGGCGTCGTAGTCGGCCATGATGCCAACCTCTACGCATCCAAAAGCAACCCTAGTAGCACCCCCTTCAATACTGACCAAGCAATTGATTACTACGTCTCGCATGGGGTGGCGACTAACAAGATTGTTCTGGGTATGCCTCTGTATGGCCGAGCCTTTACTGGCACCAACGGTCTTGGCCAATCTGCAAACGGTGTTGGACTTGGTAGCTGGGAAAACGGTGTGTGGGACTACAAAGCTCTACCCCGGACCGGTTGTGCGGTTACAAATCTGGACGAGGAAGCTGCTAGCTACTGTTACAACTCGGACTCGCGTTTATTTATCAGTTATGATACCCCTGAGGTTGCGCGCATGAAGGGTGAGTACATCAAGTCCAAAGGTCTTGGTGGGGGTATGTGGTGGGAGCTCAGCAGTGACAAAAAGGATGCTGATAGCTTAATCACAACGGTATGTTTCCTTCACTTTCATATTTGATCTAAACTAACTGTCAATTTTGCAGGTTGTGCAAACCCTTGGGGGTACTGGATCTTTGGACAAGAGCGAAAATCAGTTGAGCTATCCTGCATCTATATATGACAACATCAGGTCTGGGTCTTGCTCCTAAGTATGTTCTAGATACCCTGATCCATAAGATCAACATTCGTATTCTTAACAGCGGAGACAATCACTCCTACATTGAGCAAGCTATCATTCGAATGTGGAACCAGTCAGGTCTTCTTTTGCTTGAGTACAGGAAAAGAGTTTGCTCTCGACTGTTTCATTACCTCTCAGCATGTTCATTACCCAGTGATATTGGTTGAAAATACTCATTGCCGGGAGAACACGGGCAAAGAATTACTAACAGGGATTTCCTAGTATTTTCTTGGACCAGTTCTAGTGGATATATGATGGTGATATCTCAAGACGCGAGATCAATATTAGACGTGCCGTAGAGATATGTGATAGTTGCCATTCATGGTTCGTCTGTTTCACCGTTGAATTCATCCTACGAGTCTGCGGTCACATACCTTGAATGATTTTCGGTATTCTTGTTAGTAAATAAGAGGCAAACTTAGAAGGGAGAATGTGATGACCCTAGACACGGGGGTAACGAAATTACTTGCGAGCGGCCCACACAAGCCAGCGGCCCATGATAAATGCGATAGATTACAACTTGATGACTCAACGACGGCCTATATAGGCTTCGCCTTGAAGCCCTACTACAGTGGCAGTCAGATACCTGTTCGAGCTTTCTTTATAACTTTGATAAATCGAGCTATGGACTATGACGGCAGTAATGTTAAATTGCCCGTTTCTCAATCTGGCCTAGACTCTTGTTGTCTTATTCAAGAATTGAACGCTATCTTCAATAGTCTCCTCTTTGAAATTCGCAAGAGAATGAGGTAAGATTGGCGACTAGGAACTAGGCAGAGGAGTGTGTGTTGGGGAGGAAGGGCTATTTGTGGATCTACATCGGTTGTGACGGATGGCGGTTGAGTGTACTCGCGATGGCTGTTACCACTGCATTGCTATACTGCCCGCCGTCCAACCTGACATATATGAGATGCGGTACATTGTGTACTATGAGTACAGCACATGCATTTGGTGAGCGATGCAAAATCTTACGGCGGTCGATCTTGGCGAATAGTCCAAGCAACCCCGATCCAAGCTTCCCCCCAGCTACCCGTAGTTGGCTAGTGTTCTACATTCATTCCTTTTTTCTACAATTCTTTATCCATGACCTTTTTCGTGGGATTTATGAGATTGCCTCTAGCCGTTCGAACCTCTATTGGACTTTCCAAGGATACGGTAAGGCAGCAGTTACTGCTCTTGGGGAGCTGTGCGGCCTTTGAAGATTCTTCCTTACCATTATAATAATTCAATCGACGGTCGTCTTAGTTCCTCAGACAGGGCAATGAGCGTGACGGTGTCCTGCTGTATTTAGAATACACGAATAAGAAGATCAAAAAGAATGGGCTGTGATTATTGTTGTCTGAATACGAGAAGTGCCTGACTATTGGTGGTACATCAAGATACTGGATCTACTCCTATGCTCACGATACTCCATAGTATCATTCAAGACAAAGTTCGGAAGCTCAGTGCCTTGTACTACGGAGAGTGCTCTGTAGATACAGTAGTATTCGAAATCAAATTTACCTCTACACCCTTCGACTTTAACTCCCGAACCCTAATCTGAAACCCGCTAACCCAGATATGGGTAATTGCGTCGATCCCCTTGTTCCTATAATAGGAACTGTATTTTACAGGAAGACGCGCGCTTCGCACGCATCGGCCCTGAAACGAAAAAGTTGACAAGGAACAGTGAAAAAAATGATATAAAATTACATTTAAGCAAGGTTGACCAAAGAAGACGAAAAACCAGATGACTAATAACGTAATATTGAAAAATTTCCTCTTCACATTTGTATGTCGTGCGCGTTGACACACGTGGATGACGAAGAAAAGAGAATGAAATTCATTGTTCACGCCAATCAAATGCGACTTGCATACTTGAGCAAGGTGCAAGCAAGGTGGGGAGGTTCATGAAAGAGAAGTGCTTTCTGACGAGCGCTATGTATCTTTGAATCAAGATCACGTGAGGACGGGCTACATCAGTTTGCCCGTCATTGAGTGACGTAAAACAACAACACTTCGCTTCCACTCTTAGTCCCACCATTCTAGTAAGAGTCTAAGATTACGAAAATGAATCGCGGTAGTAACCTTGAAGCTAATGTCGTCTGGTGGAATACATCTTCCATGTACGTTGACTGTCCGTATTGTGGAAAAGTCCACCGTCATGGCTTTTGTGGTACCTATGCGAAAGGACAGTCTCGCGTTTCTCATTGCGACTCTGTATGTGCGCGTACCTACAGATTGAATTTTCCTGTCGGCACAGAATCAGACACTGCTGGATATGAAATTGATAAGCAGAGAGTTCTCTTTGTGGCGGGTGGGGCGGATCCGAGCGAATTCTTCTCCGATCCGGAAGACTCACCCGCAGAGTCTTCCTTTATGTCAGAAGTGAAGAACCGCCCGAAGTGGTCAGAGGCAATTGAATATACACATCGAGAGAACACGCTCTGCGAAATCCCTTCTTTTTACAAAAAGATCGATGCAGCAGTGGATGACGTGATTCATGGGCAGGTTCAAGATGTGCAGGAGTATCTTGAGACCTCCGCAGAGGCAAGCATCTTGCTGCATGGTTCCGAAACACTCCAAGCCGAATCGCTTCATTCGTTCGATGAGGAAAATCCTGAATCTGGCATTGATGAAAATATTCAGGTTACTGGCAGAACAGTCCTGCACCTCGCAGCCTGTGAATCTTCTCCTGAAATGGTGGAGCTTTTACTCCGGAAAGGGGCCGACCCGAACGCCAGAGACATGGATGGACGAGTCCCTCTTATGGAAGCAGCCTTATGGGGCCGAGTAGAGAACACAAAGGTTCTCCTGAAATACGGAGCTAACCAGAAGCTGGAATATATGCGGAGCGGACGGCGCGTACGGCCGGTAGACTTCGCGAGGCCGCTTCTAGCAAACACCGAAGATCGCTATCGGCGCTCTTTGTATAGAGAGGTGACTTATGAAAGAGATCAGGATCGTCGGGAAATTGTTTGCTTGCTTGGAGGGGGCGCAGATCGATCAAACCGTGGCTCTACTTCTCTAGCAGGTTTTTTCTTTCCCAAATCCTCCAGTACGGCTGAATTGACGTTGCTCACTCATTTTAACATTCCCAATGAACGAAAGACAGTCGGCGTTCTCTATCGGGGGCATAATTTCCCTCCGATGGCAGCGATGAGCGGCTGGGGACACCTTGACGACTCCAATATGAACATCCAAGTTAGCGGAAAAAGCTGGACTTCTGAAGTTCATCGTCTTAGCAAACATATTGGTTACGATCTTCCACCTGGCAAATCAGACCAGGGAAAACCAGGGAGTTTTAATGCTTGCCATGCAGAAAAGCAGTTGCTTGCGTACTTCGTCTACAAACATACATTTTTGCCGTATGAAATGGGCGAGGATATCAACCTGGCGGAGTTAGACCTTGATGAGGTTTCGGAAGAGGACTATGACCGACGTCAGGTGGAAAGAAAACGCAAAGATGACCTATTGAAACTCAAAACTGCGAGACCAACTATCTCTCAAAAAGCGGCCACAATAATGGTGAGTCGTCCTGTCTGTTCTGACTGTAAGTGCTTCTTGGATTTTGTCAACCATACATTGGGCTTACGGGTTTCAATAATCCATCGTTGCATGGCACCTACTTGTAAAAAGTGCAGAGATTGAAGCTTGAGGGAATATATTTCACTTGTCGTTTCGGAAAATGTCTGGCAGATCAAAATTTTTAATGAACTTCAAATCATAGTGGCCGCAATAAGGGAAATCCCACTCAATGAGAGAGGCCAACACAAATCAAAAAGCAATTTAGCGAATGTATGCAATTTGAACGAGGTATAAGCTCCCACATCGGGTGACTGAAATCCAAATCTTGAGGGTCGAGAAACCAAATTCTATGATATCTTCAATTGGTGGGCTAGCTTTCCAAGAGTCTTATTGATATCCAAATGGGATCCAAAGAATACTTCTGTATCACTTGCTATAATGTTGATTCTGACAAAAATGCTATTATTTCCTCAGTAATATTTTTAAGCGGTTTCTGAAAATGTGGCACTTGGGCAAGCGGGTTGGAAAAATGAAGCGGTTGAAGGCGTCGGTAATAATATGAAATAGCGCGTCGAAATAAAGTAAGGGGCACGGACTAGGAAGTGGAGCAATCATAGTAGGTTAATGTGCAGAAATATGCAGACGGAACCCTACAACCCTAAGCCAAGATCATCTAATCCGAAAAAAGCGACAATAATGCAGGTACCAGTGGGTAGGAAGAGCGAATGAGCGACGTGCGTGGCAGAACATTCCATACATAGTTAAGCCACCTCTTTTTGCAACGTCTCGCACACACGTACATCCGTGTTGACTATTCCCTTTCTCTCACTTCGTTCGTTTCAGGGCATATGAAGCAGGTGGGGCCTTGTCGTTTGTAACTTACAAAAAACTGCTAAACTACTGTATTTTACGCAAATGCAAACCTAGCAAACATCTACTCTCGCCAATGGCCACAATTCCTGTCCCCCAGAGACATTTCACCTTTCTGCTGGCACTGACTACGGCCTCCTATACCACTGCATTCAACAAGACTTCAAAAAGCTAAATAATGGACTCTGATGAAACAAATTTCCTATTTCTCCTCCCATCTGAACTGCTATTACTCGTTTTCCAAAATCTCCCTAGCCTTAATGAACCTCCGAGCCTCGCAATCACGTGCAAATCCCTTTACAAATTCTTCAAATTTCACGAGCGCAAAATTGCGTGGTCTTTAATAGTATGTTCAGTCTCCATTAATGAATTATGTCTAGCGAATAGGTTATTGAATACATTAAGCGTACCTGTCCACAACACATATTCGATGTCCGCCTCTGTTGCTTGGCCGACGCACTGCATGGCGAAGATGAGGATATTACACTTCAAACTCCTGGCGGGCTTTATGGCCGCTTTGAGTATGATTCGATTTTCTCAGCCACGGTTGAGTCCGTAGCGGTAATTGACCGTTATCTACGACGAATTCGTTTGTGGTGGAAGCAAGCTGCCCAGTTGAGAAGCAATTATGTCTCCCATATCAATGAGTACCGGGATGCGCTATCTTATGAAAACTCTTATCATCATCCTGAGGAGAACTATGTGATGGCCTGCTCCGCAGGTTGTAAACGCCAGATCGGTCCCCATTTACTATTACCAAACAGGAACGAAAGGAAATCAGTTTCTCAAGAGAAATTCTATCGGGCGGTAATAGCTTGCACCTTTGAAACAAAACTGATACAGCTTCTTGCAATCAATCTCGAATCAGAAGACGAAGTGAACGACAGTTTATCCGAGAGAATATATGCCGATTGGTTCGAACGTTCAAACTACACACTGCGAGAAAGCTTCGAAAACCTCGAAATCTTTGATTATACGTCGAATTTTCTTCTCCAGAATGTCTTCGACTCGCCTCACGAATACCAAGATTGGGATGATGAGACATTCGACTTCGGTAATGACCGCAATATGTTACTCAACAATTGGATGCATTTTCACCGACGGCTTCAAACAATTTTGACACCATTTGACATTCTCTCTCTATTTACATATGGTATGGGAAGTGATGAGATGAGAGAGAAAAATTCGCTTTACTTGAAGAACTTTTTATCGATGTTTTTCGTATATGACATGGCGCGTGAGTATCTGCATGTCGAAAGGGACATGTTACGCAACCCAAGCGAGCCCAAGTCAAAGGCCTGGAAACACTATCGAAGTCGCTGGACGTCTGCCATTAGGGGACGAGTATTCTCCAATGACTTCGAAGTTGTCGACTTCAGTGTGGCGATGCATCTCGATGATGCGAGTTCTAGGGAATCAGAGACGGTGGGGGCGAGATAGCGGGGCAGTGATTCGCAGCATTGGCGATACAGTGATGCATGGCCTCGGCGAATCGAAGATGTGTTTGATCGGGCGAAGGGAAGAGATGAATAGCGGTCGACGGTCCTCGTATGCCGGTCTCTCTTCTCACTCATTAAATGGAAGGAATCGGAGAGGATGTGGGCCACGTCTACTCCTGGGGTCAACACTATTGTCAAATACACAGAGCTTGGAAATCGGCTCAGGCCAGACGGCGCGGTGTAGGGGCTGGCACAGTACCCCAGGGTTGCCGCGTAATCCGAGTTGTGCTCCCATCTTTCATGTTTATTAGAGATGCGTGATCGTCATGATATGGACTTATTCTAATAAGTAATCCTTAACGTTGGAAGGTTCATGTTAGTTTGCGGGGTGAGCCAGAACAGATCGACACTACCAACAATCTAGACACGTTATAGACGTCAATGCCTACGTAGGTAGAGTTCCCTACCAGGGTTTTCTCTATACAGGGTAAGCACAGCCCTCAGTGTGATGACTGGCGGGCGTATAAGATACACGAAGGCCGTGCTGCATGTGGGACGAATGAGGGGACATGGCGATCTTGAAATGACCATATCGGAAGGCGAAAGCGGGCAGGCGATCTTGCCAGATTGTTAGGGTTGCCCCTTTGTTTGTTCTCTTTGCTAAAAGGTTCCATCAAATTCCAAAGTAAATTACAGTATTGTAAGAATGATACATACATCATTACAAGGGAATACAATACGGTCGAACAAGGATTACATGGAATAGCTAAAATTAGACCAGTGTGTTTCAAGCTCGGGTTCGGGAATGAACGTCTAATAGTGCAGTGGTAAATCTGATTTCGAATACTACTGTATCACGAGGAGGACCTGGTGAGGAAGGAAGAGGTAAGATTGACAGTGCTTCGCGGTCCAAGACGGTGGAGGCCGTCTTGGATTTCGCCGAAGCATCGCAACGGTTTCAAAGCCGCGCGCCGTGAGGGCAGCATGAATATACCGACGGCACAGAGGCCACGACAGGCCTCGGCGAGGCTCTAAGTTCGCTTAGGAAGTGGTACACGGTCTAGGTACATAGGAAGATACATATAGTAGTGGTAGGCTGCATATCGTTCGCGAAGTTGGACCCTAGAATGAGGTACAAGTGTGATAATTCATCTATATGAAGAGATCCAGCTATTTGTAGTTGCAGCAGCTCATCTCCCTGCTGCCTAGCGGAGTGTCAGCCTAACAGGCAGCCACTTCTATAGATCTATATACATCACGTGACCTGGGATCCAACTCTCCCCCTGTGCCAAGGACCCGAAGGGGCCGAGGCACCTCAATGATCCCAGGATCTGATCCGGCGATTTCTTTCCTTTTTTCCAACAAAGGTTCAGATTCGATAACTCCCCCTGAATGGAGATTCAGACGCTTTACAAGGTCTTCGTGTGTAGACCTCGGTAAAGCTTTGGTGAAAACATCTGCCAAGTTGTCCTTTGTATTGACGCGCTGGGTATCAATAAGACCTTCCTCCACCTTTTCCCGAATGAAGTTATGCTTGACGTCAATGTGTTTGGCTCTGCTGTGGAACTCTGGATTCCTGGTGAGCTTCAAGGCTGCGTTATTGTCGATATAAAGGGGAACTGTGTCAATATGTACTCCGGGGATGCGGAGGTCATTGATAAAGTTGCGAATCCACATAGCTTCCTTCGCAGCCTCGGCGCATGCAATGTACTCCGCGTCCATGGTTGATGTAGCCACTGTTTTTTGTCTCTGGGATGACCACGATATGGGCCCTCCAGCAAGCGTGAACACCCATCCAGTTGTTGACTTGCGCGAGTCCTCACATCCGGCAAAGTCGCTGTCGACGAAACCCCTCAGCTGGAGGCCGTGTCTGTCTGAATAGACAATTCCCTTCCTGGGGTCGCTCTTCAGGTATGTAAAGATCCGATCAACAGCATCCATGTGAGCCCGATTTGGATTGGATGCATATCGGGCCACATAACCTGTAGCATAGGCAATGTCCGGTCTTGTCTGATTGCTACTAAAATTGAGCGATCCGACCTTCGACTGATATTCTTTACGGAATTTGGTTTTGGCGACGTAGTCGCCTTGTTTCGCGAGCTTGATTTTTGCGTCAAGGGGAGTCTTGGCAGGGGCCGCATCTTTGAAGCCATATTTGTTGACCATTCGGTCGATATATTGTTTCTGATGGAGATGGATCTCTCCTGGCTTCTGCTCTATGTGCATTCCTAAATACCAGGAGCACTCCCCCTCGTCGGATATCGGAAATTCCTTCGAAAATTGACCCTTAAAATTAAGGATTTCCTGAAGGCTTCTACCCATCACGTTTATGTCGTCCACGTGAACTTCGAGGATGAGCCCTGTTCCGTCATTAATGAAAACACATGGATCGTAGGCAGAGATTCGCCAACCCCAGCGGACAAGAGTATCCCGGAGCTTCTGATACCACGCTCGAGGTGACTGCTTCAAACCATAAAGGGCCTTCAGGAGCAGTAAGCAGCATCCACGAGGTAATTGCACATCTCTCGGAACTTTCATGTAGACGGGTTTGTCCAAGTCACTGTTCAGGAACGCCGTTTTGACATCTCCTTGGTGAATGTGCCAATGACAAAGCGCCGCCAAAGCGAGCAAGATGCGGGTGGAAGTCGATTTGACCACAGACGCAAACGTTTCCTCATAGTCAATGCCCTCTTCTTGTTGAAAACCTCTTGCCACTAGACGAGCTTTACGCCTAGTGACTTCGCCACCTGGTCCATACTTGTCCGTAGTGACCCACCGTGAGGTAACCGGTTTGATGCCATCCCGAAGTGGAACGACCTTCCATGTGCCTTTTTCTTTGTGCGAATTCAACTCTTCCATCTTAGCCTGGTGGTACTTTGTGCTCCCAGTGCCATCAGTTCTCAGCTGTAGAGGTGGTGGAATGTGTTCGGAGTATACAGATAGACCGACTTTGAAAGTTTTGTGGCTATCCCTGGCCGCCCCGCGTCGATTGTAATTCTCAATATCATGTGAGTTGGACTCGATCGTCTCTCTCACTGATCCCGGCTCGTGGGAAGCTTGAAGCTTCCTCCGACTAGCGTAGATTTGGTAATTTTCCCGAAGATTCGGCTCGGTCAGGCCTTTCACCTCGAATGGTCGAATCGCCCATGACTCGTACGTTCCATCAGATCGCCGATAATTGCAATTGGCGACGTGACTGTTATCTTGTGACTTGATGCATGGGTAACAAGGTTGTTTGCCATCACAATTCAATTTCATTCTTCGACAGCGTACGCATTCCTCATCAGACGGATCTCCTTCCTCAAGAGGTCCCACTGAGGAGAAACCTGTTGGAAGTGGGGAATCAGGAGCGCGATAGATTCTAGTTAGCAAACCATGCTGAGCTTTGTAGCTGCATGTTGACTTTCCGTGGATGCATGCCTTGCAAGGTCGTCCGCGGTCACATTTCTTTCCACTTCTACTTCCATGTCTGCACTGGTCACAAGGACGTAAATCCTCTACGCCCTGCGGCCGACACGCTAAGCGCTGAAGAAGGGTGCTGCACTTATTGCATGGAATCTTCCCATCGCATGCTATTATTTTTGATGCGCACCGGTAACATTTCTGATCTCGAGGGACTGGTGCAAATCCGAGATTTTCATGCCTTGCTTCTTTTTCAGCTTGTCTTCTCCTCTGTCGCGCTGTTGATTGTTTTGCTCCATCCAAGTTCCAGTTGCAATTCAATTTTGCTTTTTGACATCCTTCACATTGTGGATTGCTTGGATCAACAAGAAAACACGTGCGGTTTGTCTGAAAGCATCTTCTACATGGCTGGTCCTGTTGTACTCTTCCAATTAATTTGCGCTTGTGGCGGTTCTCAGGAAGAATCAGGCGTTTCGTTTCCTTTGACTGTGGTCTGCAGCCTTGGTTTTCTTTCCTGCAAATTGAACAGGGTATTCCTTTCTCAGCAGAGTCGCATCTTCTTCCGTTTCGGAAACAACGATCGCATTTATCATCATCAGGTAGAAAATTCTTCATATGATTACCGCCATGTTTTGCGACAAACTGCCAGTAAGCCTGTGAGATCTTTTCGTCTTCCGAGTAGTACCAGGAATCGTCGTTCGAGTCCGATAAATCTGAGTCTGAATGGTCTAGTTCGATGTCACGTAGTCCGTGAGTAGCTCGACGGCTTTTCCTTGGCGCTACTATAGGTTCATCCGGAACCTTGCGTTTAGCCATGCCGGCGTGCTTGGTTTGATTGAAATACTTGGACACAATTGTAGGACCCAAGTCTCTGTCATCGGTCTCCTCTTCATCATCGGCGTCTTCGACCTCATCTTGTGACCCGTGTGTCGCTTCAGAAAATTGGTGCTCTTGGTCAGCAATTTCCTCATCCGAGGAGATTACAGTGTGTTGATCATGGCGGGAGCCACCGTCGTCATGGTCACTGTTTGAATCACTTGAAGGTTCTGACCCGTCTTCCGAGGGATTGTTGTCCGTAATTGCAACATCTGGGGTGGGGATCCTATCTTCCAAACACGGTGCATCATGTGGATCGCGCAGCCCTTCACCGTCTTCGATCCTTGCAACGCCGATTCGATAGACCTTGTGTTTCTCTGGAGAATAGATATGGTATATTGCCTCACTCTCGCATCCGACAAAGTAGCCTAGCCAGCCACGAGGGTTATGTAACTTTGTCATCTCAGCCGTGTTTCTCAGCTCTTGCGGATACGTGACATATGCTCGACTGCCCCAGATTCTTTCTCTTGTGAGAGTTGGTTTTATTCCCCGCAAGGCTTCATATGGTGTTTTTGCATCCTTCTTGCGTAGTGCACGCGCTGGAGTTCGATTTTTCAGCCAGACAGCATGTTGTATAGCTTCGGGCCAGAGGTTCTCGGGAATCTTGGAAATTCGTAAGAGCTCGTTGCCCTTTTCAGAAACAATCTTCGAGACTTGTCCGGAGATGGAAGTTTCTTGAACCATAGGTGCGGCCTTTTCACGAATAGTACGGTTCGTCCTCTCAGCAACACCATTCTGATAATGCGCATATGGCTCGATAGGTTCTCGCGCGATGGAATGGGAGCTGCACCATTTGCCAATCGGTCCCCTTTCAAATTCGTTGTCAAAGCGACAGCACCGGATGGTAATATTGAAAACCTTCTGGATCAGTTTGACCAGCGATTTGAAAACTTCAAAGAGCTGATACTTTTTGTCGAATCGTGCGCTCCAAGTATATCGCGTACAGTCGTCGGTAATGAACAAGAAGTACCTAGTTCCATCAAATCCTTCGATTGGATATGGTCCCCACACATCTATGTGAACCATTGCCCCCGGTTGTTGAGCATGACGCGAGGCAGGGTCGCGCGGAATCTTGACCAGGGCCCGTGTTGTCGCACAAACGGGACAAACGGCTTTGAGCTTGGCTTTGATCTGCTTCTCAGTGATTTCCATCCCAGTTGAGCTACGCAGCAGATTCAGCATGTTTTGAAAGCCTAGATGCCCTAACCTCCGATGCCATTTCCATACAGGGTCATCGAAGTCCACTGTGGCTGCGATGACACCACCTGTCATATTATCACTGGGAAGTTGTGTGGCGCCGAGGTGATATAGACCGTTGCCGAAGATGGCGTGTCCGATCATGTGTCCGGCATCATTCATCCATGTCATATACTGCTCATTGTAGATGCCGGTTACTTTTGCCCTCTGGGTGAACATCCCTCCCGAAAATAGGTTGCATTTTCCTCGAGGAGCATAGGCAACTTCCGAAAGCGAAACTTTAACTGGAAACCCATCAGGGCTTTTTAGGACAAGGTTGACAACTCCCGTTCCTTCAATTTCAAGGGTAGTGGACCCGTCTGCGGTACTGATTTTTAAATTGGATGGGCGGAAAGTATCTTTCTTGAACCATTTCATGTCATTAACGATATGCATGTTCGCTCCGGTGTCAGCTAGCCATGTGTCTGTTGCACAGAAACTACCTGCCAAGAAAGCCCCCAATACAGGTTTAGAAAAATCCAACATCGCGGGCACTGGGTCCCCCATATCAACTCCCCCTGATCTCCGCAACTTGATGCAAGACATAGCTCTATGCATCTGTGGCGAAGGGTCAGCTGGTTTCGCAAGAGTTGAAGAAGAGGAACCCGTACCTAGAGCATCAGTCCGGATATAGGTGTCTTTAGAATCAGTGAGATTCATTTCTGCGACACCACCCATGCCATTATTGATAACGGCCCTGTTGGTGGTGTTGGTGATTTTTTCCTTGAGAGAACGTGGAATTTTCTCGGGGTTCTTAACCCAGCAATCATCTTCGCTATGGCCAGTCTTGCCACAGCTAGGATAGGTACACTTGAGGTGATTTCTGTCCTCCCGTCTCGGCCTGTAACGAGTAGGATTGTCTATATTCATAGTGCTGCTGTTTGTCGCATCTCTCTTGGCCTTGTCTCTGGCCTTTCTCTCTTCTTTCATTTGAAGTTGCTGCATTTCTTCAACATGCATACGTTCAAAAAGATAGTCTAGATCGGGGGAGTCGTCAGGTTTGGTCGACCTAATCCAATCATACTTCTCTTTGAAGCTGCGATAGTTAGGAGGAAGGCCGTGAAGAAGAGCGGTTGCGAACATGTCGTCAGTCATATCATATTTGACTGTCTTGAGATCAGCCTTGATCTGACGGACTCGGTTGGTGTAGTCGGTCACAGATTCACAGTGATCCAGCTTGAGATCATGTAAGCGATTCAACAGGATATCACGCGCACGTTCATTTGTGACAGCGTATCGCTTTTTGATAAATTCGTAAGCTTCTTTGGCGTCTGCAAAATCCTCGATCTCGATTTTAATGCCGTCGGAAATCCAAGCGTCAAGCAATCTGCTTGCAAGCTTCATCTTTTCTTTCGCATTCTTGTGTTCGTTGTGGTCGATCTGCCATCGGAGTGTGTTATTGGTCGTCAAGACAACTGCCTGGCTATCATCCGTCTCGTTTTCGTCATCGGTCGTCGGGCTTAAACTTTTCTTGATCCGAGTGGACCGACGAGTTTCGGTGTCAAGAACCTTCACAAAGTATTCGTCTTTGTTGGGCTTGGGAGGGACGACTTCTTCGCCCGTGAGAAACTCAAGCACATCATTTGCTCTGGCTGCTCGCTCAAACTCGCGTTTCCAACTGATGAAGTTGGTCTTGCCTTTCAGCTGGCGATCTGGTTTGACTTCATCCATCTTGGATTATGTCTTGTCTGGTGCCCTGGGTTGGGCGACTGGGGTCTGGGGTCTGTGGTCTTGATCACTGATCACTTGTGTCCATCCAAAGGCTTGTATAGAAAAGAGAGGCTCATAACCAGTTGGACCCTAGAATGAGGTACAAGTGTGATAATTCATCTATATGAAGAGATCCAGCTATTTGTAGTTGCAGCAGCTCATCTCCCTGCTGCCTAGCGGAGTGTCTGCCTAACAGGCAGCCACTCCTATAGATCTATATACATCACGTGACCTTGGATCCAACTCGCGAGGGGTCAGCGTAAATGAAATCATCCATCCATCCATACTGTATCACGAAATCCAACGTGCTCTTGAATCATATTGAAAGCCCCAGATAAATAGAAACTGATCCAGTGAGGCCTACCTCACGTCCCGCTCGGTAGATGTTGTATCGTGAGCGCGAGTGACTGGAAAGACGACGCTGAGAGAGCCTATGGTTCATCTGGTACGACATCTATATTCATCATTTCATCTATAAACACCATAAAATTTCCGATAGCTTGCTCTTCGCCGGAAATACCAGCCGCCCGGTCATCCCAAAACATCGTCCTAACTAGACGCGTCTGCTGATCGACCATTCTGTGACTATTACGTTTGCTGTAGTTATATCTTGCTAGATAACACCCTGTTATCTGCAAAGCACAGAATATAAACTCTCCTTCCGTTCAACGCAGAGGAAATTTGCATTAGTACGATCACGTTCACAAATTATCTGCGACCCTAGGAGCCTCAAGACCCCTGAACCACAAACAAGCTATAGGCTATGGAGGACCTCGCAGGTGCAGCTGGTTGAGATTTCCCTACCTACGCACGACAGCGTGGTTGCTTTCAGCGCCACCTCTTTGCTAAATCAAAAAGGGATGCTAAGTGGCAGATTCAGTTATTCAACAATCAATGCCACCCTGATCATCAAGCGTTTTTATATTGTGAGAAGATTCATTGCTCTGCAAATTGACTAGCTTCGGAATCCCACAAATTCTGGGAGCCAGCGATCAACCACAAATAATGGTGGCAAATCGAATGTTTGCCTTCCAACAAACCTCAATTAGAATATGCACCCACGTCCTACAATTTTCAAAGTCCCCTGTGTGCTACTCTGCAGGCCTAAGTGCCAAGTAGTGGGAGGATTGAGCAACTTGTGCAAATTAAACGGCAGATCTGGTAAGCGTGAAGTGCTGAGTTCGGCCGTATATAATGCAGCGAGAAAACTAGATGCCAGATAACGTTAGCAAACAGTGTATTACACAGATTCGTTGGTGAGACAAGCTTTTGCAATATGCACCCCAAGCCAAAGGCACCTATTTCTTCTCAGAAGCGTTGTTGACAGCTCAAGCCATGGTCTGTCAACATCTAACTTACAGCCGTATCATTAAGTAATTCACTAGGGTAATACACGCACACATAATTCATTAATGCCCGGCGGCTTAGCCAAAAGGTCAACTATCTGTAATCTACTATACATGTCAGAATATATATAGTACTGTGTCTCCTTAGAGCCCACGCATAAAATCTTGCCATATATGTCATTTTCAGCAAGCAGTGTCGCAGCGAATCCTCGTGGGTTAGTAATCTTTTTAGTAGGCTGGCTTGAAGGCGCTTCTCCAATTCAACATCCCATATTCGGCAGTTGAAGCGCGTCTATTATCTGTGACACGAGACGGTTGGTGGTTTGGATCGGAAAAAAGGGTGATTAATAAGAGGCTCATTTTTTTATGCGGGCTATAACCTTTTTTCTGTTTTCTGCATAACGTACTATTTGTTTATTGCCTAGAAACACCAAATGGTATTTGCCCATTTGAACTCGTCTTGGGTAATAAGCAGAGCGCGTATTGGGACTTTGCAAAGGTTCTCATCATTGTTACTCGCCCGCAACGTGTTCAAAGATATGGATTGCTTCTGACAGCTCGGCTCTTTCCCAGAGTCTCTTTGGCAATGAGATCAAGGGCTTCGACCACAACATTAATGTCATCCTTCGTTGTGTTTGGATTGATCGTGCACATTCGCAAACAGACCCGCTTCTGCAATTGTGTTGTGAAAATGGCAGCACGGTTTTCGGAGGCCATCCTTTTTGAAATCGTCGTGTTGCAATCGTCATACTCCTTGTTGCCAGATACTATGCCTTTAGGAGCGTATCGGAAGGTCAAGATAGCCAGGGAGCTTCGTGAAATAATCTCCCAGTCACGCATCTCCAGAAGCCTAGACTCCAAATGAGAGGATAACTCAAAGCCCCAGTTGATCATTCCGTCAATATTCTCAAGCCCGAGAACTTGCAAACTAAACCAGAGTCTCATGTGTCGTGCCGGTCGAGTCAGCTCGATTCCATAGTTCCAGGGATCGCAGGGTTCTTCCAGACATTCCACGTCCCGAACATAACCACCGGAGCCAGAAAAGCTTTTGAGAGGATAAGCTTTTTCACGAAAGAAAACTGCACCGCAGCCATGAGTTTGAAATAGCCACTTGTGTGCATCCCAGGCAATACTATGGGCTAATTCAATACCATGGATTTTAGCGAGATGAGTGTCGGAAAAGGCGAGAGAGCCACCGTAAGCCGCGTCAACGTGCAACCACATGTCGTGGCTGTTTGCGATTTGCGCTAGCTCCTCAAGTGGATCGACGGTGCCAGTGTTTGTAGTACCACACGTTGCCACGATCAGGAAGGGTTCCTTGCCCTGCACGATATCTTGGTCGATCTGGTATTGTAGTTCGACCGTATTGAACTGAAAATTGCTGTCGACCTTTATAACGCGGATCTGGTCATCCGAGATGCCCACAATTCGTAGGACCTTTCCAATGCAGAAATGAGCCTCCTCTGAGATATAGGCGACACCGTTCGCGCGTTGTTCGACTTTCAGCTTCTGATCTCGGGCCACAGTGACAGCGGTGAGATTGGCCATGGAAGCTCCGGAAACAAATTGTCCACCAGCAGACGATGGCAGACCGAATCGCTTCGCTATCCATTCAATCAGGCTGCTCTCAATAGAACATACTCCCGGTCCCGCTTCCCAGCTACCACCAAAGGGATTCTGAGCGGTGGTAACACAATCACCTAGCCACGATAAACGAGACACAGGGGATGGGATGCAGGAAAAGAACCTGGGATGCGCTGTTGCGATTCTGTACGACAGAATTTTATTGATATCTTGCAACACCTCTTCAATCGCTCTGGCGGCGCCAGGAACAGCCATCCCGCGCAACTCATTGACCTCATCCTGGCTAGGCCTATGGGCCAGTATATCATCAGAAGCAACCTCATGTCTGCTCTGGAGCACAGCAGAAACGAGATTCTCTAACTCGTGGGCAACTCTCGTAGAGCCCATATTCATTGTGCGTTCGTTGGAGGGTGGTCAAACTGGCAGTATAATGACATGGCTTGATGATGAAAGAAAGAGTGGTTCAATCCATTTATAAGTTTCAATTAACGTGGTTCCCGGCGGGCCCGTCATCCCTGCCGGTCCGTAACCCTATCAAAGCTTCAATTTTTACGTATTTTTAAACACCATTTGCCCCACTAAAACAGTATTAAATTAGCAATTTAAATATTCTGTAATTATGTAGAAAACCTATGCCCTGTTCCTCTGCATTAAGATATACTCGTAGACCCGTTTAAACGACTTATTGTAAAACTGTTGAAGATCACGTTTTGTAGGCAAAGAGATCTTATTAGCAGTTTAATTCAGACTAGAATTGAGCATAGAAATGCGTTTTTCTAGCTGCTTAGTCGTCCAAGGAATGCAGGTAGAGATATTGCTACCTAAAATTGAGCCTTCTGATGGTGGTCGATCCAGTAGATGTGGAGATTGAAGGCGAATATTGAGCTTTAATCACACCCGATCGGGGTCTAATAGTACTAAACCAGTAGCTGCGAAGGCACTCTAAATAAAAGACTCTTTGAATGAGTCGTCACGAGTCGCCGGAAAGATATCAAGGAAGTCATCTTTATCGATAGAATCGATACCTAATCGAGTATACTCCGCAACCCGCGTTCTGTAAGAGCGCTTTAACACAGCAAAACAACTAACATCAAGAGACTGTAAAAGATAAGAGGCATATGGAGGCATATAGATTGGTATAATATTGTTTTTCTAGCAAATCTTATCGAATGTTGCTGTAAGGTGACTGTCATAGCCGTCGAGGGCCAAAAGAAGATATTTTCGTTTCGTCCTGACTTATAGTATGTGGTATAAAGTGCTTTAGAGCCAATCAACGCCAATTTCATTGTTTATCCAGCCGTTTAGACTGAAGTTAAGAGCCCAATGCTTTAGAAGGTCGTCAAACTATCGTACCATAAAGTTATTTCCCTTAACGATAACGTATGGTGGGAGCGCTCGTCAAGAGGCGCAAATTGATTCAATGATAGTCACCCATGTGCGACTGCCAACTTATAAAACTCCTCTCCGACCGGTGTATAATGACTATGTACTAACCTGCGTGGTCGCATTAATTTTCCATCTCAAACCCCGATTCGTCAAAGTTGTAACGTTAGATATCATCGGAAAAATACCATATTAAGCGATCGTTCTTTCAACAAACCTGAATCACTCAATAATACTGTAGTATTTAGGTCTTCCATCAGGGCGCGTTTGTAGTCCTATTTGCGAGAAAATCGAGTAGTAAGCTCAGGATGTCGTTTGATACATTATGTTGACAAATTTTGCCCGCGGTCTAGGGGGCGTTATCCCCACGTTGCTCAAGCAGTAAATTGGCCATATCTTTCAATATCGCGATTGTAAGCGCAGTGCCTCTCTGATTCATAGAGATTAACCAATCTTGAAGTGATTCCTCTTCTAGTGGCATGAATTTATGGCCTGTCCCCCTTGCTGAAAAGACTAATTGATCCAGAGCTTGAATGAAACAACATTCCCTAAAACACGCATTTTTCTCGAACGGTGATTATTTTGATCTACTGACATGCACCAAGTGTGATTCCAAGCACGAAGTGAGTGTCAATTATAAACATTTCTACGGCCATACTGTTGCTAGGGTATGTAGAATAGATAGCCTTCTTCACAGAAACTTGAATTCCACATTTTCGCAGAGCGCCGTCAGAATTATTACCGTTTCTTTGACTTCCGCATACAGGATCTTGGCGTTAACTTCTGTTTTTCTTCTTTTCTTATTTTTCTTTTCTTTCTTTTTTCTTTCCTCACTTAGCTTTTGTTTTCCATTTTCTCATTTCGCGTTTGACAGATTTAAGTAATAATACTAACCGCGATTACATCAATGAATTAGCCCCCTTGGACACTCGGCGACATTTAACGTTACGAATATGCGTCAGTTAATATAGAGTGGTATTTAGTTGGCAAGTATGCTCTACCAAGATCATTCAATAGAAAGAGTTCAGTCCGTCAAGGCGCAGCTTTATTACTTATAATTAGTCATAAATTTGATATTCTTTGGTTATCATTATTTATAAAACCCTAACTTGGCCGCCGTGTGTATATTATGTGTAGCTTGGATTTGAAAACTACCATACTCCGTGGTAACATTCTCAAGTCTACAGTAACTTGCTATCTACGTTGCTTCTTCAATTTTGAGCCGCCGTCATTCTTGACGCTGTCTTCCGATGTCTTCAGAAAGAAGCATCACCCTGGCATCGAATGTCCTCGGAACTATTGGCACGGTTCTTTGGTGCATCCAACTTTTCCCGCAGATTTGGTCGAACTGGCACGGAAAAACCACCGATGGACTTCCCGCCGCGATGATGTTTCTATGGGCGAGCTGTGAGTCATCTTTTGTAAAACCAAGAAACTGAGCGGAAAACTTGTGCTCAGACATGGCCGTACATGGGAAATTTCTAGGAGAGTTGAACTGATGATCTCGTGAGGCTCCGTTCCACTGGGTACATACATGATTCTCCAAGTGAGTTTCCCCTTTCCTCTGGCATTTTGCCTCTACTCTCCCACTTACTAATAGGGAGACCACTTCTCTGATAGCAAGTCAATCTTCCGATACAGATTCAGCCTCACATTGTTGGACTACTGTCAATTGCTACCTGGGGTCAAATTCTTCATTACACTCAGTGAGTCGTTCGCTATTCTAGCATCCCTGGAACGCTGCTTAACTTGTACTTTCTAAACAGTCATTACGGGAAGCTCAAGACCATTTTAATATGCTCAGGCATAATACTTCTGCTTGGAGGGCTAGAGACTATGTTAATTCTTACATTGAGGGTACATTCTCGGCAATTTTCTGATATCCAGTGAAGACTAATTCTTATGGCAGATCCCGTACCACAATGGCGTTACTTGGCCAAATATCGTAGTTGGCGTTATCGGAGCTATTCTCCTTGTTGCAGGCCTTTTACCTCCATACTTCGAGCTATGGAAAAGGAACGGACGTGTGATAGGTCTTAGTGAGCTCATTCCCTCTGATCAAAATTCCAAAGGTGACGGTAGCTAATATTAGCAGATTGGGTGTTCCTTGCAATTGACACTCTAGGCGGAATATTCTCTCTTCTCGCATTAGGTATGATACGTCCGTTATGTGCAACACCGACACAAAGAACACTAACGCCACATCCAGCGGCGCAAGGTGCTTTCGACATATTAGGAGGGACCATATATATGTTAGTGTGAGTCAAAACCGTGATCCAATCTTTTCCCGCTGAAGCTTGCGTATATCAGAGTTGTTCTTGAAGGGGGAATATACTTCAGTCACATTGTCTGGCGTATACGTAACCGAGGCCTACACAGAGAAGCAAAACAAACTGGGAAAAGCATCGATGACTTGCTTGCTTTGAACCGTGATGATACACAGCCAATGAAAGACCTCGAAAATGGCATGTTTGACGGCGATAATTTGAACGCATCGGCACCAACACCAATTGAGAAGAGGGAAGAGGAATGAGAGACCAGGAATCAATAGGTACTCCGCTGGCATTTTTTATCTGCCAGTTTTTCGTGATACAGTAGCCACTCCGAGAGCGAGGGGGGTTTCAAAACATATGAAAACATATTAAGCAGAGCAGAGCCTCAGCATACCAAGATATTCGTTTGATTCTATACTAACAGTCGGCTATATAACACTGTTTTTATCGTAACCATGAGATGGAATGCCCAGTTACGGAGAAAATTATTGGAAGAGGATTCCGCGAGTCGGGGTCGATTTACTTCGATAGAGTGTCTCAAGAAAAAGTCCTGGCTATATGATCTTGCTTCGAATGAATGGTTGGAAGCAAGTGAGGAGGTAACTAGGGTCACTTTCTCACGTAAGAATCCCTTGCACCAATCAAAGCATTCCAGGACGACCAAAGTGGCACACACCGCCGAGATGTGTTCTCAAAAAAGGCGTGCTCGTTTGTCAACTCCCGTCGTGTGACTGCTTGTCCTGCCAGCATAACACTGTATTGGTCATATTTTGGCAATCCATTACTAACGTGTATATGAGGTGCCGAAATAAGGCGGTGTGCCGAAACGCCTCATAGATACCTGTAATACAATTGGAGATAGATTCATCAAATAGAACTATTATCATATAAAAATAGATGTATATTATCCTCTGCCTCTCCAATTAACTACTATCTATTGTTAGGTCAATAATACATCCCGTTGATCCAGAGGTGGCTGCGCGAACAGCCGTCAACCGGAACAGAAGATACTGCGGAATAAGTATCATTTCTCGCTCCAGCGTCACAGGGGTCTAGAATGTCTGATTTTTACATCACTTATAATTCCAGGCATTAATTATTGAACTACGGTACTGATACTGTAACGCCGGCTTTTCAATCGGATGGTCGCACAAAGCCTCCAGCATGACCGGGGTGTTGCTACGGGGCCACAGATCTGTCGAACCTAATCAAATCGGAGAATGGAGCAATAATCTTCTATCTCCCTCAACGGTCCTTGGCGACGATTATCCTCTGCATGTGGCAAGGTCTGACTAATTTCACTTGGTTCATCCCGTTTCTTCCTCTTCTTTGCTTCCCGCGCGGCTTCTTTTTCTTCACGCTTTCTTTTTGCCACTTCAATGTCCTCAAACGTCATGATCTTGGCCTTCCCTACCAGGGTCGATTTTGTACGCTGTTTACTTTTCTTTTCGTTATTCTGCTCAAACAAGTCGTGGTTCTGCTGCAGAAGAAGCGAACGCTCCGCAAATGCTCTTTCCGTCGCATTTAATATCTTCTGAAGACGAAGCTTACAGCCTTCATCCATTTGATGCGCATCTTTTTCAACTTCGCTACGTAGTAGGGCCAGTTTTCGGGGGCTGACTGGTGTGTCAGGCAAGTCATTTGCTATAGCCACCAGAGTCCCAGAAGTCGGTAATTGTACATCGTCAGCTGGAGGTTTTTGGATGTCTCTGAGGACCCTCTCGGGATTGAAGGGTCGCAGTCCAGTTTTGGACCATCCTGAGAGAATATTCCGAGAGTTGAATGCCTGGTCGCGGGCACGGCTGTACAAATACGTAAAATGCTGTTTCCCAATTGTGTTAGCCCCACACCGCTCCAATGACTCGGCGTGTTCACGGTACGCAGTTTTCAGTGACAAGAAAACGCCAACGTCGCAGGGCTGAAGTTTGTGCGATGTATGGGATGGCAGTCGACAGAGCACGATTCTATTGAGAAGACAGAACTCCATAATCTCAAGAGACTCGTGGGTGCCAAATCCATCGCTAATGAGAAGACGCGGCTTATTCCCAGCTAGTGATTTGGTGTGAGGGTCAAAAACATGCTGGATCCAATACAGACTGATCTTACTATCGGTGTAGCCAGATTTGGAACATGCAAAATGCCAATCAGGGGTCGGATGTGTAGTCCAAGAACTACGGTGGGTGGCAGCTGGCCAGATGATTAATGGGGGGAGTGAGCGGCCATCTGCCGAAATACATTCAATAGCCGTGATGGCCTCCCGATTAACTCTTGCGCCCCTCGAGCCACTGTAGTCCTTACCTACCAAAACCTTCAGAGAACGGGGACCACTCAACATGACTCTTATTTCATCCATATTGTAGATGTTGACAGGGTCAATCATACGGTCGTGGAGTTCCGGCCCGATCACGGAAAACCATTCTTCAACTTTACCATGGATGTTATGGTCGTGCCGTTTCCAATCTATGGGTTTTGACTTTCTAGGTTTTACTTCTGGATGTCGTTTGAAGAACTTTCGCGGCCAGCCCGAGCTAGGTAGCTTGGCAATATGGTGGTTCGAGGATGCGGAAGTCCGCTGTTTGACGATAAGGTGGGCAAGCGATCGCAAGTACTTGATCGGCAAAGGAAAGCCGTTTTTTGCAAAGCGTAGAACAAAATCTTTGAGTGCCTTTTCTTCCGGGTCCGTAAGATAACGCTGTTTTTCGGCTTTGTCTTCTTTCGACTGCCGCCCGTTGGCGCGATGCCAAAGGGTGGATGCTTGGACGTTAGTATATCCTGATTTAGCAGACCATGTGATATAGTCAGAAGAGTCGCTTAGTCTAGACAGAGCTAGTGTTGCTGGGTCTGTAACACGCATGGATGGATTTGGTGTCACAGTGTCAAACGCTGCGAACACTGCGAGATGGGAAATGGCCCAGTAGGAGTTATTTTTAGCTCGGAGGATTGTAGTTCCATGCCGAGAGCTTGTCGCCATATTGGATATGGCGGATCAAGGTATCTCCGAACATGCGTACTCAGTACATTGCCTGTCACATGACATAGTAACAGACTCGTAAAATACATCAGAAGAAGTACCGACATGCACACGATGGACGCGGATTTCCAAAAATTTTAATATGATGATATGTACATCTAACAGCTGAAGCAGCTTTTACATGCTTGCGTTACTTGGAAAATGGAGTAGGAAGGGAGTATGAAGCGTCTACAGCGCATGTGTGACCTGTTCGCGATTCAAAAGAGTTTCGAGGGATCAAGGTTCGCCGCTGTCACAACCCCACCTATCGGACTTTATCTCGATGGTAACTTGTTCGTAGTAAAGATAAGGTGACCAAATATACGCCTGATGAGTTTCACGAACTGCCTACGCAAGATGGTGGATATTTCTTGATCGGCGAGGGAAGTATCTCCGCAATATTTCGGCACGGTGACTCCGCTCGTTACGGTATACATACGTTATAGGTTGCTTATGCCTGCGAAACCCAAACAGGGATTAACTTAAGGCCCCTAGCGGCTCTCCGAATAGGAATGGTCCAGCTTTCATGCCCTCCAAGCTAGTTCTAGCTCAGCAGCTAGGTCAGGGCGGTGACATTTCCCTACGATTGATCTGTTGCTCTTGTGTTAAAAACAATTCCTTGCCCTCCTACTATTTGGACGCTCAAACCTTACCCATCGGAATAACACAATGGACGCAAAGGTCAACCTTTCGCGCCGATCAATACTATTTGGGGTTCCAAGCACTCTGCCCTAACGATAGAGAAGTGCTCTACAACCACTTTCTGGCAACTGCGAAACTGAGATTGGAAAACAAACCACATTGGTGGCCAACCGCCGTTGATTGGGACTGATTGATGACGGGGTTTTGGCCACTGTGAAATCGAGGCTGGAAGTGGAACCTAAGTGGTGGCCCACTACTATTGAATGGGGCTTCAAAGATGCCCTGGTATGGAAGAATCCGGTCAGTCGTACCCCATGCACTCTTTTAGCACTAATACTAATATATGTACAGCAAAATCGGCAGCCCTAGCATGCGTTATGAAAAACTACGACCACCAGGACCTTGCGAGAATACTCGACAAAGTTAGCGGGGAGCTTTATACAACAAATTGTTGCACAATAGTCGACCGATTATTCGCGATTGGGAAACCTCAATCTAACACATCCCAAGAAATCTTGAGTACGATCCGGAACAGAAATATCGTTACCAGCTTTCTGATGATTCCTTGTTAGGGCCCCAAAACCGACCAATCAACCCAAAGACCGCTCTGCGAGAGTCCCTGCCAATAAAAATATTTGCACTGCGGAATCAACAATCCACGAGTGGTAGCATGTTCCGTAGCGGTCGTCCGGGATATGTTGGCTTCCGGAAAAATACCGAAGCAAGAAGTTACGCCACGCCTGTCGATGTTAGTAGCAATGCTGCACTCGTAAACGCACTTTATGCGCGGGTGCTAAACGTTGAATACCTCTGCAGGGAGTTGCATACGACCCAACCCCAACTTGCAAATCTCAAGCACGGTTTCTCCATCGACATAGCTTCTTACTCCCAACAGAGCGATCTGTTGTATGTGATTCCTCGGTCCAAGTGATAAGAAAGAAAATGGAGAGACTAAACAATGCGCTAGGACAAGCAGGCAGTCGCTCCAAGCAAACCGTGCGAATTCGGAACTGATTCTGTCAGATTATCAAGGTAATAAGGTACCTCTTGAGCCTGCCATTGGTATTTGCATTACCCGGGCTCCCGTGATCGGCGAGCTGTTTGTCGTCGAGCTCGAGGACCGTCGGAAAACTCAAGAAGTGTCATATTATATGTATGTTCAATTCTGGGACAACAATATAACGCACAAACTAACCCCCAACCTCAAAGAGCGTATTCAATCACCATGGCCCAGTCTTCCGAATATGGGAATTTCCTTATTTGCTTTTCCTCAGATTGGGACAAGGTCTCAGATACTGTCATATCGATGGAAGTCTTCAAGAGAAGCGCCTAAATTGGAAAGCAAAGCATAGCTACAGTACAAGCTATTACTACTCTCCCAACTCCTACACACAGCAACGTAAGGGTATTTGGGGACTTTCAGGAGACTTATTTGGAGGGGTGATTAACCATAGGGGCAGATTGAAATATGGCTACTCAAGTTGAACTCGACAGTGTAAGAGAAATCCGAAAGTTGCCAAGCCTATTTTTCGACGCTTTCGTATTGGTCTGATATGGATGCTCGGAACCGCGTCTGTTTGCACATTAGTTGTAGTCTGCATATCGCTTTGACAGTTGGATTCTAAACCACAACCCACTAGGCTGGGTACGAATTCGTATTGACTCTAGTTGGGAAATCAACTCTGACAGGATGGGGTCAGAGTTCCCATCACTTACACTATTAAGTGATTGGGGCATTGGCTACCGCTTTTCTAAGTGTGTCCGAAATTTGCATGTGTGAGTGGCCAGCGTCACGCCAACAGCCTGGCCATTCGCACAAGCCCCGCGGGCGGTAATCCCTGGCACCAGAATGGCTGGGTTTGGGAGGCTGTGATTTTCTGTAACTCTCGCGGTTTAGACGACATCAGTAAGACCAGTCAAATGGGCCGGGCAGTTGGATGATAAACCACGGTCGGAGTCACTGGCGATAATAAGTTCACCAAAAGACGCCTAATTTAGGAATGGAAATAAGTAGATGCTCTGCAGATTATACAAGGGGTTACGGCGAAAGAACTCTTTTTTTTGGTCTACTTGCTTTTTTGAGGGCAAAATGACAGCGAATTTTGGAAGGGCTGTTAAGTAGGGCGGGCCTACCAATACCAAAGGCACCACTTTTATTTTATCTCGAATGAGGTTAGCTTCATGATCAACAAAATAATCTCGAGTACAGTATTGCTGGGTCATAAGAACACGATTGACCGTATAACCACTTTTTGATAGCTCCAGTGTTCTCATCTACCACAAATGAATCTAACCTCGAAACATCAACATTCCTGCCCCAGCGGATTCCACCCCGCTAGTTTCCCATTGGGACGAGCAAATAAAACAATACAATCTCGACAAGAAGATTCGGCTGGTTGAAGAATGCGGCACTGTGTCAACCTCAGTTGGTAGATGATTCATTGTCGATCTTCGCAGTCCGAAGGATATAAAAACAAAGCCCGCCCCTACAGGAACATGGATATAACAGGGTGATCCTGTCTTCCAGCGTGTCAGCCTGCACGGCTCTGTCACTGCTACCTGGCACAATTACCCTGTGGCCTGCCTTCCAGCGTTTCAACATGCACGGCCCAGACAGGCCTCCCCAGTCTCAGAAACGGTAACCCAGTTGCATAAAAATGCGAGGATGTGGCCTTTTCAGTCTGTCACGTAACTCCCTTTTAGCATCGTAGTGGCAACGTGTGGGGCCTGTACGTGGGGTGATTGGCTGTAATTTCTGCAGGATGATGGGGTTATACCCCATATACAAAGTTATTCTGGCGGAACAGGCGCTTGAAAGGACATCTGGGGTTACGGTGTAGGGACGTAGCTGTACGGAGGAGGAGATGCGAGTGCATGTGGATATGTAGATGAATGCAAAAGGGAAAGACTATCTGGGTGGGAAAAGGGGACAAGCCCGACGAACATACCACTGTACAAACCAAGTAGGAGGGCAGGTTTATTCGGTTGAGCACGGCTACTTGATTATGAAACCGACCTAGCATGCTGATACTTCAACATAGCTCCTCAGCTGAGAAGCGTCAACCCTCTCGACCATGCCTTCATTCACCCGTTTCTTCGGAAGGCCAAACGATGAATGCACTTTTCGGACCCAGAAGAGCAGGTGGTCCTGAGAAAGACTCTTTTGGTCTGGTTTCCATCGAAGCTGGCCACGCCGCACCCGTGCTGTCGCTTTTGGTGATGCTGCTCGGAGAAACCCTATTTACGTCGAAAGAGTTTAAGTGTGGTGTGTAGCCATGACTTGACTGGTGTTGTCCTGATTGGATCGTCTGTGGATTCTTCACAGACACCGTAATATGTGATTTGTCCTTGACGTAAACGCCTCCGGTTCGAGTCGTGGGATGAATGTAAGACCTACAGTCAAAGCCCAGCACGTCAGCCAGATTGTCTAACACCAAAAGGAGTTGACTTTACCGAATCAAGACTATTGTTGTGTTGGGGTCTGTCTGAATCGCCGTCGTATACGCGGCATACATCAATGCCCGAGCAATGGCTTCATTCTTTGGCCTTGCAATCTTCCAGATATACTCGATTGTCTGTGTAGCCATGGCAACAGTGTGATCGATCGGGCCAAATTTAGCTACGGAAGGATATGCCCAAGAGGAGGCAAGATATAGAAGTATAGAGAAATGATGGGACAAAAGATAGAGCAGTCAAAGCATACCCTTTTATAAGTCATTCAGACCTCTCTACCGTTCAAGGCTGTTATTTTCTTCGCCGCTCATAAATTTTTTGGGGGCTTGAGATGCATCATCTGCGCTCTACTCCTGCTGGGGATTACTAGGTAGTGGAGTTTCAGAATCGGTAAGGATCGGAGAGGCGAAGCAGGTTTGGCCTATCATTAGCCGCCTTTGCTTGCCATCAGGCCTGGTTACAGCTAACCAATCAGAGAATTCAATGTTAGCCATGCAGGTGCCAGGGTGAAGCAATCCACTCCGAAGAGGCGAAGCAGATGATCGAGAGCTTTGGCCACCTTGGCAGCGAGGGCCTCTGACCCACACCGCCTTTCAGTATTGCCAGTAACAGCGCGTCACTCGATCAACTCTCCAAGGACAAGAACATGAACATGAACCCTGGGTGGAGACTCTCTCGCTCATTCTGCCAGCTCACGATACTTCGTCGACGAAATCAGAATACCGTCTCGCGCCAATTTCCATTCACACCACAGATTTGCCATCATCACAAAGCCTTTGAATCACCACACCCATTTCGATGCCTTTATGCCATGGCTGACTCGTCAGATTTACCAATGGAAGATATATACCATCCTGAGGTAGATGTTGAATACCTCGAGGACTATGTGCCCGGTGGATACCACCCAACCCTCATCGGAGATACCTTTTGTAGTGGCCGCTACAGCGTCGTTCACAAGCTTGGTTTTGGAGGATATTCAACAATTTGGCTAGCCTGGGATCAGCAACGCCAGCGCTACGTATCGCTAAAGATACTGACAGCGAGGGCATCGCCAGATAGTCATGAGTGGGAAGTCCTGCATTACCTGATGAAGAGTGAACATACTCATTCTGGAAAGCGATTCATTCCGCAGCTACTGGACCAATTTTCGTTTCATGGTCCAAACGGACATCATCGGTGCTTGGTCGGAGAGCCTGCTGGTGGTAGTATTGCCCAGTCCAAGGAGGACAGCACAAATTTCATGTTTCCACTGGACGCTGCTAGATCCACTGCCGCCCAGCTCCTCATAGGGCTGTCTTATTTGCATGCAAACGGCGTATGCCACGGAGGTGAGGATAATTAAGCTGTGCATATTCATTTACTGATCCCGCATACTAATCGCAGGCAGATCTCCATTTGCGCAACTTTCTCTTACGCGTGCCGGACTTTGACGACCTAAGCACAGCTGAGCTATACAAGCGCTTCGGTGAACCCTCCGAGGTTCCTATCCGACGAGTGGATGGGAAGCCAGTTGAACCCCACGCACCGCCGCATGCCATCTATTCCATGGTTTTGAGCATGCCTGCCAACGAGGTGGATAATCCGGAAATCATCATCTCGGACTATGGAACGTCCTTTATTGTGGCAGACACCCCCACACCAACTCTCCACACCCCAGCTCTCTACTCTCCACCAGAGGACTTTTTCAACGAACCCATCATCCAGCCCACCGCTGCCGATATATGGACTTTAGGTGTCAACTTGTACGAGGTTTTAGGCGAGCGTCCACTCTTCGAAACATTTGCCTGGGACCGAGATGATATTGTCGCCGAAATGATCAATACGCTGGGCCAGCCGCCCGTGAGATGGTGGAACTCTTGGCATAAACGTTCCGAATTCTTCAAGGAGGATGGGTCATGGGTCGATGACTTCCGCCGTATCAGCACTCCCGTCTTCCGGCGTCTACGCCAGCGCCTCTGGGACATGGGCCGTGGCGAGACAGAGCAGACGTGTGAATGGGACATTGCAGGTGGGGAACTACGTGCGTTGGAGGACTTGCTTAGAGCTATGATGGCGTTTGAACCGGCGGAACGACCTACAGCGGACCAACTCCTGGGGTATGAGTATATGGTGAAGTGGGCGTTGCCCGCCTGGAAGAGGCAGAAAGGGCAGAAGAGGCAAAGTGCCCAGCCTGCAGATGAGGAGCATTAGGCTGCCTGTGCCCATGTAGACAGGAGGAAGAGCCGAGGTATATGCTTTGCCTTAAACCCCCAAAAGCCAAGATAGTGTGAATGTCGTCATAGCTTGATATGAACGGGCGCCCGTCTATAAATACAAGCCGTTTTCGAAGTCCAATGTCCAAATGATACTCTTTGAATTCTTGTATGAAGCGCATAACAAGATTTCTGCGCTCACGCCCCAAGATGACCGAGTACTAGCAATTGCACGTCTACGAGGCTGATGCGGGGCAAAGTCCTGTCATATGAGATTCAGATGAAATAACAATGAATCGACGTTCCCACCTGAGGCATAAATGACGCCAACACATAGGGAAAGGATGATAGGCTTGACCCCGCCCCCAGTCATCACCAGGCACCTGTTAAGAAATACCTGAATGTGATTGAAGTTATATACTCTATACTGCTATACCTTTGACAACATTTCCCTATTTAAATGATCATCTCGGCATGGACTACGCTAAAGACAGATATATCTCTCGCTGCTGCTCCAATGGAATTGCTGGCCAGCTGAGGTCTGGAAAGTACCATGACGATCATCTACCATTGACCGAGAAGGATCTTTTCCGTTAATTCAATATTCATCGGATGCGAGAGGATAAATAGCCTACCGCTCTCGTTCCCGTCTCCGACCGTCCGTTTGAAGCTCTGCATCGCGCTTGCGCGAATTGTTACTACTCCTATGAACACCCAGGAAGAATCTGGATTGTCATTATTAGAGTGCCGGATGGTGGAAATAATAATGGCCCACACCACGCCCGGAGACTTGCGCAGCGGAGAGATCTGGATGCTGACACCTTCAAACATGAATAAGTTTTTGAATGGGAAATTCCTCACCGATACGTGGAGCATCTTATCTCTCTCAATACCCTACTTGATACAGTGGATGGATGGATGGATGGATGATATCATTTACCCTGACCTCTCGCTTTTGGCGATATACAGGATACAGCAACTAGTTATATATATCTTGGTATGTTCAAGTGTAATGTCCCACTTCCTGAAAACGAACTTGGAGCCTCGTCAAGGCCTGTCGGGGCCCAGGTGCCGTTCAAGTAATTAGGCTGCCCTCATGGCGCGCGACTTTGGAATCTTTGTGACGCCTCAGCGAAGTCTAGTACGGCTTTGACCGTCCTAGCCCGCGAGACGGTGTCTGGTTTACCTCTCTCACCTTCAGTTGAGCCTTCCAGCAGACTCGATACGCTATTAAACGCGTCCCCAACTTCAATTCTTGGCTTCCGTCGGATTTCCCTCAGATTTGGGCAGTCCACCAGCACGTGGGTAACTATTTCTTGCGCGCCGCACACGCACTGATTGTTGTCGCGGAAGCCGAAGGTATTGGCATAGGTGGATAACCAATTGTGGCCCGTGCGTAGCTGCGTCAGCAGGTACGCCCGCCCCCTGGGCAGGTTCCCGTACAACTTCCTGGTGTAGGCCGCCGTTAGGGTGCTATCAATTCTACGCAGGTGACCGCCTGTAGTTGATGCTTTCCATTCCCGCTCCCATTGAGCGCGGATCTTGTCTCGGATAAGCGCTCTCTTCCTTGTTAGCAAAGGGCGGAAGGGGTGTGTTTTGCCCGGGCTTGCCGCGTCTTTGGCCAACCGATCTGTTGCGTCGTTCCCTGGATCGTCGCAGTGTCCGGGTATCCATTGGAGACAAAGCGCAATTCCCTTTGCTTGGACCTCTGCAGCCGCCTGGAGGATCGCGTGGATGATGCGTTGTCCTGGCTTGTTTCCTGGGTTCTCGATCGCCTGCAACGCTGACTTGCTGTCGCCGAGGATCGTTGCCGTTGTTGTTCCATTATGTTCCGTTCTTGGCCGCTGATGGCTGATCTTGAACACTATACTGACAGCGTAGAAAATGCCTATCAGCTCTGCTATGAACCGACCACCGGTCCATCGGTCCCACTTGGGCCTGTTTCGATTCGACAACTTGTAGGTCATTGTCGAGTGCTACGGCAGCGGCGCCTAGGTGGCCTTCGCGTCCCGAGGCATCAGAGTAGACCACGATAGCGGATGTGGTCCGCACGGACTCCGCCCGCTCTCTTGCCGTCTCTCGGTCTGTCCCATACAGTATGGATGGATGGATGGATGGATGGACTTCATTTACCCTGACCCCTCGCAAAAAGGCGATATGCAGGCTACAACTACTGCGTAAATACATGCATTTGTGTTCCACGGAGATTGTTCCAAACTTCTTGAGCGGTGAAGTTTGAGCCTCACCTGATAAGGCCTGTCGTGGCCTGCTTGCCGTTCGTGATGTTAGGCTGCCTTCATGGCGCGGCTATAATGAGTTCCTCGATAAGGCCGCCAACTATCGTCTGCGGCTGGCTGCATCTCGGCTAGGAGCCTTGAGAATGCCGGTAATGCTGAGATTAAAAACCTAGCCAGAGACTGAAGCAGATGCTTTTTTGTTGCGAGCTCGACTAGCTGAACTCTTGCTGCTTTTCTTGTTGAGTTGGAATGGCGATGGTTTGTTATGGAAATGGCGATAAAGGTCTTCCATTGTGAGTGTGCGTTTTGGAGAAGGTACGGATTGATAGGTATTGGAAGTTGGTTGCGATAGACAAGGTTTGGGGCGTTGCAAAACCGAGGCATAGGTAGGTCGTTGGTCTGGTGTGGAGGTAACGGGGGGTGTTGAGTAGAGAGGTTGAGGAGGCTGAGAGACCTTAGAAGAGCAGGTCGGTTGAGGTTGTTGGGGTCCTGCTTCAGGCATTGTAGTGGACTGTTCGGGGGCTGTATCGATGTTCATGATTGAAGGTTCATCTGGCAGAATGGATGCTGGCGCTGATTCGGGAGGCGGTCGTTGAGATGGAGATGCGGTATCTGAGGGGGTGACCATGTTGGGTATTTCAAAGGTAGGTTTCAAATCGCGACAGATGATCTGCCATATGCAGTCTGCCAAATGGAGTTGTTGCATCTCTTCAATGGGATTATCCTGGAGTGTGTACAAGAGGATGGTCGATCCGCAGGCAAAACAGCACGCTGATCCTCCAGATCTTGAGGGCTTGCAATAAAAGCCATTCTGAGCAAGCTGGAGAGGAATGAAATCGGTAAGCACTTGTCTATGAAACGAGAGAGCTCTAGCTGCGATGGTGGAGTAGGTGATCGGGATTTGGTGGAGAGGTTCGTCGTTGGGATGTGGGGTATTTCGGTTGGGTGGAGCAGAGGGGTTAGCGGATTTGAGGAGCGAAGAAGGACGACGTAGGGCTGAGAGAGGCTTGGGCTTCCAGCCTCCTCTGGCGTCTGGATATTGCGAGCTCATCTCTCTCCCGTTATTCCGTTATTGTACCGTTATTGTTGTGTTACAGTCGATCGTCCCATACAGTAATATTCGAAATCAGGTTTACCTCTACACTCTTTGACTTCCATTGCCGAACCCTAGCTTGATCTTTGAGAAATCTTTGAAACTCCCTCAGCGACGATAAATGCTGCTTTGTCTGCCTCTCCTCCTGCCAAACCCGCAGTCCTGTCCCTTTTCTCTAAATGTCCCGGCCATTTCTTGGGGAAATCCCCTCTTATTTCCAGTTTCTGTAGTTCACAGAACTTCCCAAGCGTTCGTACAAATTGAGCATCCACAGATGAACCCCAGTGGTTTACAACCGGTTCTGAATCAAGGTATAACACCATCTCCTCGAGATATCTTGCTCCTGTGGACAGTTCTTCGAGGAACTCACTCCATTGCGGGTCATTGGGAGGATGGTTTATTATGAAATCTGTGTACGGTACCGGATTGTATACAGCATTAACAAAAATCCAAAGCTTGCGTAGGTTTCGAGCGTTTGACGGCGTTATTACGTTAAGCCATTCTATACCAGTGTCGGGGTTATAAATTTGGAACATGTTTTCAATATAAGTTAGAATTCCGGTGGATTTTTGGGGAGAGTAGCTCGGGGATCGGTAATGTGAATTTTGACTTAGACATGACGAAAACACATGTAACCTAATGATGTGACGCTATGTTAGCACAATAGTCAACTTGTTAGGCGTTGCATTTCTTTACAAAGAAGTCTCGTACAAAATTGACTTCTCGAAAGCTTGACCATATCTCGAATGCTCGTATGCATGTGTCCCAAATCGCTCCTCATATTCAATCTCACGTCTTCTCGAAGTTTTCGTGTTTTCTTGGTGGGGGCATAAATTTTCAAAAAGGCTTTCTGAGACTTGGGTAATGAATGATCTACCGCACGGTCCAGTCTGCCTCCCGCATAGTCTAGTCTGCCTCCCGCATGGTCTAGTCTGCCTCCTGCCTGATGCTTATAGGCCCTTTTGGTGTTTCGAGCATGGACTTTGAGTTTTGCGCTGGCCGAGTAGACAATATGCTCCCAGAAAACCATTGATAACCTTACGCTTGTGGCTGCTCTAATCTCATGTTACCAGGGGCTTGCTTTCTAATCAAAGGAAAGCTAAAATTGGGAACTTCCTTAGGTTACTGCGTAAGATCAATGAGTTACCAGAAGATAATTACACTAAATGGTAGCAGATCTTGTCAATTTCTGCATTGATTGAAACAAAAAGCGCATCGGGAAGGAAAAGAAACGCTTCATTAGTGCGATGAAGAATTTCACATTCAACAATTATTGAAGGCCTGTCCCCTAGCAAAACTTTATGAAAGTGCCGATGACAATTCTAATCATTCAAGGTTACCGCTGCTCATATATCGCGTTATGATTTATCCTATTCAACACGAAACACGAACACTGGCTGTGCTTGTGGCGTCGAAGAGCAAATGTATTGATGCCTAAACGCTCTTGGACATGGATTGTAACTGCCCACTCATCTCTTGACACGTTTCGCCAAAAAAGTTCACGATGGCAGTGCCCCTTAAAACTGTTTTCCGACGTTTGTGGAGTTCAGACATCTCAAATCTTGGGGAAGGCGGGTATGGACGTCTGAATCCGTTGTTTGCCATCTCTTCGGCACCAACGGGAAGATTTGCAGCTCACTACGGCAGCAACCCACTACTTGGATTCCACCTTTCCAGCGCATTCGACGATGAAACGTGTTCGGAACAGGAGCTGACGGAGAAAATCGTCACTCTCGCCAAATTGCAGTTCTGGGGGTGGTGCACTGCTGTGAAAAATCAAATACATTCCAGCACCCTCCAAATTAGGTTCTTTTGCGGAGATGCTTTGCGGCTTTGCTATGGGCTGCAGATCTCTCTCAACTCAGTAAGTCCAATCCCAAAGATCGTGAGGACGTACACCTCTCCATGGAGCTCCACAGAACTGGTTCTTCTTGATCCAGCTTGGCCCACTGAAAGGAAGCAATTCGATATTATCGACACATCTACCCTCATTGATCACGTTGGGATGCTTAATGTTCTACCTGCAGTTGTACCGCTGTTATCTCGGCGAGTCGCCTCAGTACTGTTCACCAATAGCTTTTTACGGGCAGCAGAGGATATGACAGCAGCACTGCCGGCTCTTCTCTGCTCGGATGTCACTACAATTCTCTTTGATCCTCGGTCTCGCTCCAACGACTCACCTCTTTCCATATACACCATATGCGGTTGGACTTGAAGAGATATTAAATCTCATGGCTTTAAAAAATACTGGACGCCAACGCCAATACCCTATGGGGATTTCATGGAGGATACCTAGCTTTGGCGATTCCATCCAAGCGCAGGATTTCTCTGTTTCTTGCTATCAGCTTGTGTATCAAGTTGATCAGCTGGCTAGATACTTCTTCAAGCTTTACCTGACAATGTTCAGCTGTGAAGATATGGAGTCAATGATGAACTTCTTGATGCGTCGAGCAACGTCACCACTCTCTATAGATCTCCCGCACTACACTCGCATGTCATTTATCACTCTTCTTTTTCTGGCAAAGGCCCATGTTCAGACTGACTAGGCCGCATTTATGAGTTGTCTTCTGGACATGATACAGGCCAACAGACAAATTCTTGTGGGAAGCAACAGTTTCCAGGAACTTTATATTTTGTTGCACCAGTTTTGCTTGTTTACCAGTGATGTCCTTAAGAGGCCACCTCACAGCATTGGAATAACTCCATATGGGCAACCTAGGGTGTGCCAAGCTGATACAGGACTCCTGGGCCGTGAAAGTGTACCGCCAATCGTATATTTAACTTTGACAGTCCCGCGACAGAAGCTTGAGATATTTACAGAAGAGAAGGACCCAAGAGGAACACCAGGTCTTCATGTCAGTGTCTGGAGTGTTGAAGAAGGATTCGATAACAGCTTTTTTGCTATTCAGTGTTTTTTCTGGAAAACTAGACGCATGCTCAGCTGACAGTACCACTTGCGATGTCATCCCAGACGAAGATGGATGACGGGGCCTTGCTAATTTGATTGTGACCTGTGCAGTTCCTACATGGTCTATGCTACTCGGACCTAAAGGGAACATTCGAGTCGCCTTGACGATCTGATCCCACCCTTCTACACGCCACTACATGTCCAAGCTAGGGATCCGGATGACTGTGTTTGAGTGTGGGTTAGAAAGTTGCAATCTCTGATTTGGACTGAACCACCCGGAGTGAGAAACAATCCCAAAAAGCAATACGCTACCGCAGAGCAAGCTATACCACCTCAGCTGGAACCATGTTTCGTACATATAGACGAAAATTCTTGTGCAAAAGCTCTGCGAGTCCGGAAAGCTTCCAAGTTTCTGAGTCAAGGCACAAAGCCTGTGGTGACACAGATCTCGCCGTGCACGCTGACAGTTGGGCTCGAAAACTCATCACAGATCAATCTCAATTAAGCGTATCCTATTGACGAACACCAATTACAAATGAAACTCACATCTGGGGCTGTTGAGCTGACTGTCTCCACTGCTTCTGCGCTCTCACATGGAGGATACAATTATCAGCTTTTTCCAATGTATATGTGTGAACGACAGCCTGTCTCACTTCTATTCCTCAGCATAAACCTGGACAAACAACCAGTGATTCCGACCATAGGAAACCTGGATTAGATCAATCAATTCATGGGTATGACACTGAGCAGTACAGAGCGAAAGTTGCATGAAGAGAGTTCAACTTCGACTTACAACACGTTACTTCAACTCAAGTCCTCTATCATTGCAATTTTTCAGAGCTTTACAGGAGTGAATGTACATCGTGGCCAGTTTCGAGCATTTCAGCTTACGTGCAAGCACAAGAACTATAGCTCTGATACTCTGCTCTTTGCTTCAACGCTTCGCCATAACGTCTTACTTGGCTCAGTCATGCTTGACGCATATGTCGTTCCATTGTCGAAGGAGCGAGTCTCCGAATTATCAGAAGCACTAAAGCACCTTGTCACGTCAGGCAAGCTACTCAGCATAATCCTCAAGTCTCGTGAAGAAGAGATACTGTGGAAGAAGCTCCTTCCGGTTCAAGTGGAGTGTTGCCGTCAGGCCTGGCACCATCAGGATGGTTGTCAATGTTGCTTAGAAGGCCTTATTCCATTATCTTTGGAATACAGTCAACTTCCGATATGCACCTGTGGCGAAAACAAGGACATTCACGGATTTCCTCGTTTCCAGAATTGGTAAATCCTTACCAAGTACGCCACTCGCATTGCGATCATATCGCTCTCAGCAAATCCGTATTTGGAAAACGTCATAGGCGAGGAACAGAAGAAACATAACAGTGAAATTTACGCACAGTTGCAGAAGGGGGGGACCAATCATGATAACTGTCTGGAATAGAGTTAAGATAATGCTGGACAAGCGAGCAGTCGTGATGGCGATAGATTGCAAGGAGGAGTATCTTGTCTATCTAAACCCGAAAGTCATCATCACGGAGGCGACTAGATTGCTGCTCCTCCCGGTATAGCTGCGGGAATAGGAAGTAAAGAGAGATATCCTCAAATCCGACTCGCCGCCCAAATGTATAATGTGGGATCTGATGCACCGGTCGTCGGACGTGATGAACGCGACTATTGCTTCAAATATATTGTATAGGGAGTGGATCAAGGTGCAGACCCGAACGAAGATCAGAGACGGGCATCTAAGTCGAGTTCCACCGCACTCCAAGTTTAGCCACTGCTAGGCTGTGCGCAAATCCCACGATACTATCGATATCAAAAGTTACCGCGGTCGGGCGTTCCGGCTCATGGTCGGCAGCAAGGCAGAGGTGCACTGGACCTGCGTCAGGCGTGGCTGAATTGATCCCAGTATAGATCTCCCGTTTTCGGTCTACATTGGTCTGTTCTGCTAGGTTGTCCTCACGTTTAGTCATGACCGCCACGCTTAGAACGTCTGGATTTCCCCCATCTGCCTGAATCTGGTCCATATACTTTCCTGGGCCAAGATGCTCCGTATACCGCATTTGATGATTACTCTCCTGGTGTGTACGGCATTGGTGATAGCAGCCATGGTGCTGTTGGAATTGGTCAGTGAGAAGCTGGGCCAGTTTATAGATATCACTAGCTGTGTTGGTTCCAACGTCTTCTGATTGCTTAGGAGCTAACACCACAAATGGGTTGGTCACTTGGACCAAACTTTCAGTTGCCGCAGCAGTAGGATCGGCCTCGTCTGTCCCTTCTTGTATATTGTCGGGCGATATCGCTGAAGTAGGATCGTAGGCTATATTACTCGTGGGATCTAACGACACCTCATTATCCACCAGCGGGATATCAAGTACTAATAGTTCCTGTGGTCCAGGGTCAAGGCTAAGTGGTGGCAGAAGTTGCTCAACTTCAGTGGCGATCGAGACTTCTCGGGGAGGAAAATAGGTCGACAGAGGCTCATTGATATCAGTAGATAAAGGCACTGCGGTAGAATAGTACTGATCGAATCGCTGGGCTCGATGCACAGCGCGGGTAGACTGTCGGTGGTTTCGCCGTTACGTGACATTCGATACTTGCTTGTCCTTAGCAGATGTATACGTTCGTGGTCGTCCTCTTTTTCGCGTTGGAAAATCTGATGGTGAATTTCTACCTTATAAGGTTTATTTATTTTAAACCCATTTTTATGAATTCAATATTGACGGCTGAAAAGAAAAGACTAGGATCCACCAAGACGCACGCAGTAGTCTTCTTTAATAGTTGAAAGGCCCTGCACGAAATCTAGTAGATTCACACAACGTCAGACGGTCACTCGACAGTCCGCCATAGACCGAAGGCGTCTAAAGCAGCTTAGCTAAGAGCCGAGTATGGAACTGCTAATGCTACTTTAGGCTTAGACGAGATAGCGGGGCTCCCACATTCTATTTATCTTTTTTTTTTTTCGAATAGCATTCCAATTGTTTATATAATTTTTCATAATATATATATATATTCATCTCTTATGGGCCACGGCTAGCTCATTTTCTGATGATTTTTTGCCGAAAATTGAAAAAAAAAAAAAAAAAAAAAAAGGCATGGGGGGCCACGGGGAGTGGGTTCAAAGGGAAACGTCTAGACCCCATGTCGTTGGTAAAATAAAGGCCATTGTGTGTTGAGGATCCCAAGTCAGGCAAATAATACATTTCGCGCTAATATAATCAGACTGTCTAGATAGGTACTACTTGACCGACGTAGCTCTTCAGACAAGACGCTATGAAGACACACCTGATTGCCGCTATTTTAGCAAGCTCTGCAACCTCTGTCAAGGCTGCGGTCGCTTTCAGGCACCATCACAAGAGGCACCATCATGGGATACTCTCTAATCTGGACACGTTGAAAATACAAAGGGTGACAGATATCTCTTTGGAGCCCCACAAGCCAAGTGCTGCTGCGCTACCTCACGATTCAGACAGTATAAGAGAATTCGCATCCGCGACGATGACTCTTGTTTTGATCCTACTGACTTCTATTCTAGGCACGATTATACTAGCTTCCATTATATGGTGGGTCAAACCACCAGTGCTCCGACCTCCCAATCGACGAGTAGAAATACAAATCCCTCAAGTATCACTGGCAAGGGCCAATATGGTATGACATATACCCAGTACATACAGACTGGAGGTTGTAAAAGCGTAGATGAGGTAGCTGCCGATATTGAGAAGATCAAGACCGCAGGTTTTGATTGTGCTCGTGTTTATTCGACTGAATGTAATGCACTATCCCATATCGGCGAGGCGTGTGAGCAGGAGGAAGTTCAAATGATTTTAGGAACTTACACTGATCATTCAGGAACCTCTGCTGCCGAGCAGCAAGTTCAGGATATCGCAAAATGGGCCAAGTGGAGCCAAGTCAAACTGATTGTAGTCGGAAATGAAGCAGTTCAGAACGGCTAAGTTACTGTGACGCATCCGCACTAGCCGAGTTTATTAAACATGCCAAGGCTACGTTTCGGGCCAGCGGATTCCGTAGAGAGGTCACAACCGCGAAACCAGTCAACGTCTGGCAGAACTAAGGGCTCTCCAATCTTTGCAGCATCGCAGACCTCGTTGGGGCGAACATCCACCCCTTTTTTAACGCTGATGTTGCGGCCGCCAACGCTGGACAGTTTGTCTCATCTCAAATCAGCCGACTTGAAGAAATTTGTGGTAATCTGAAAGTGGTCAATCTAGAGACGGGATGGCCGAACGCCGGAGATCAAAACGGTGCCGTGGTTCCGGGAATCATGGAGCAGAATACCGCCGTCAATGCCACTGCTGAAGCGGCAGGCTCAAAGTCTGTCTTCTTCTCGTGGATCAACGATCCGTGGAAATCACCGGGAAACTTTGACGCAGAGCAGCACTGGGGGTGCGCGGATGTGTTCCAGGAAAATATAGAACCGGACTAGTGGTAGTCACATGTTGCGGGGGACGTCCTCTTCAACCAGCCATCTTTGTAGAAGCTAAGCAGTAATTGTTTGGCGGTTGTAGCCCAGGTAGGTAGAGTAAGATAGAATAGAGCTACTGAGGTTGGTAGGGCGCTGTTAGGACTCGTTCAAATCAGGCGAGGGGAACTGCCTCCTTGGAGGGGGTCTGTGGATGTGGGGAAGTCAGGTAATCAACTACCTTTGTGACCTCCCCGTCTCTACTGACTGTGTTCTCATACCCATGCTAGCGGTTTGGTGGGAGATCCGCTTGATTAAAAGGCTCGGTGTGTATACAAAGTGGGAGATATGCTACAATGATGGTCAATTCTGGAAAAGAATACTCGGTACTAGCGCATTAAAAAAAAGAATTGAAACATCTCGCTATGCCCTGAAATTAAAGCTCAATTGATGCTTGCTGTATTTTGACAGACCAGGTAGAATATCAGAGAATTTCCAACAGAGGTAGTGTAACCTACGAGAAAAGAATAGAGACTGTTGAATCTATGGGCGCCTCTGACATGAATCGAAATTTGTCTTACCATTCTTTGTTAGCCTACCCGTGTCATATTGCTAAAGACCAATTATCTGATGTGACTGTCTTTCACAAAGTAGTCACCATCTAGCAATGAAATTCCGATGCTCGGGGATGAGAAATGCGACTTGTTTCATGAAGAACTACCAAACGACGCGTATAGCATCTTTTTCACTTATGTGTCGATCTCTCACGTCGAACGTTTGATTACCTTACGAAATGGCAGGCTCGTGAGACCGCAACCCAATGTATCGTGTAATTTTTACTTGAAATTGAACCATCCATGTCGCGACAGCGACGCAGATTTGGAGTATCTCCATTCACTTCATTGCATCTAGTACTATTGTAACCTTTGAGAATTCCCACTTTGCATCCTTCAGCACTCGGTAAGACCAGTGTTAGTTGCTGCTTTTCGCTTCCGACTGGCTATTTTGGCTCCCTTCTGGGTAGCAGGATGTGCAAAAATGATTGCAGCGTCCTGACGATTGTGCAGGACACTTCCATCCGGGCGAAGTCTTCTCTCAGACATTGGTGGGGCCCACCACTGAAGGGAAAGAGACCCCCGCCAATCTTAGCAAGTTCGCCGCTCTCCCATCGCTCGAGACTGGATTTATACGCGTCATGGCTATAGAGGTTCTTCTTCCTCGAATTTACATACTGTGGAAAATAAACCAGTTTACCTTTTCTTACCAACATTGGCTGATCTCCCTCTGTGCTGCGCCCCTGTTGGTAGAATGGTGGTCCGCACCGCTTCGCGGTTGTTGAGCGGTACAGTCGATCTGGGTATTGTACTGTATGTAACAATTGGCAACGAACTGGCTTTGTACTACGATCAATGCATGGTTATATTCTTTGATTGTAACATACTACCGATGGATTTAAATTAAAATACCTAAGGAACATTTCGGTGCTGTGATATTTGTTGAAACATTGTTGAAACATAAGATGTCTAATAGCAGAAGATAAACAGCCTATGCCAGAGAGGTGTTCAAGTCTGATCTCTCTCTTAATGAGAGAGAGATCCTATATAAAGGAGAGGAAATCTCTTAATGATCTAACCTCATGATGGACTGATCTGCGCTGATAGACACATTCCTGATAAATCTGGTATAAACTGTCTATTCATGCATGGATCTCAACAAACATGAAGGTATTAATGTATGTATGGAAAGCCAGGTTTGCATGAAATATTTATCTTCAAACTCGACTCGAAGCATTGAATAAAACCCAAACACTGCAAACACACGATTGAAGATTCTCAACAATTGAACCTTTGATATTTTTCTTGTGCTACGAAGAAAACAGTCATACAAGATGGACGGTACAAGTTCTAACGACTGGCGGCACAACGATGCCGTACTTCCCATTACTAAAGTTTTGAAGCCTGAGCAAGACTAACGATGCCGTACTTGTCATAGCTAAAGTCTTGAAGGCTGGGCAGGACTTCAACCATACTATCGTACAGGGACACTGCTCTTCTAACCTGTCCCGTATGTACGGCACCCGTGCTGAACGATATCGCATCATTTCTTCCAATGTCGTATTGATCTGCCAACTCCGGATGCGGTACCCAAACCACTCTCATGCCGGCACGCCTCGCAGCTTCTACCCCAACCGGGCTGTCCTCGAACACCAAGCATTGATCTGGTTGTATCGCCTCATCAGGACCACGAGTCATGTTAAGCGACTGCAACGCCGTCAAGTAAATATCGGGCGCGGGCTTCGCCCGACCGGGAGGGACTCTGGGATCATCACCCAATATCATGTTTTCTTGTCGGAAATATCCAAGGAATCCTTGAATCTCCTCTTGCGAAACTTTGATTTGAAACATTTCATGCGTCGTGCTAGACGCTAAAGAAAGCAGCATACGTTCGCCAGAAAAGGCACTGTACGCGCGACTGAGGTTCAACAAAAGTTCGCGAGCCCCATGCATTGGCTGGCAAGCGAGGAAACACTCCTGCGATTCTTTTGTGTATTCTGCCGTGAATTCTTCACGAGATATAGACAATTTCGCCCAATCATGGAATATATCCCCATTGGTCGAATCCGGAACCCCCGTGAGCTGGGCACGAACCTTAGAGGTAAGACGTGGCCTACCGTACCTTGCAAGTATCGCGTTCACACAGTCCGCGTTCAAGTCTTCCTTGTTGATCAAAAGACCGTCCAAGTTAAAGATGCACGCACGAGTGTCCCATTCACCGACTGTTGATAATCCGCCCGACATCTTGTGTTTACGAAGAAAATTACAATGGGGGAGGACCTGCCCTCCTTGTATACTGTTGCCATTTTATACTGTTGAAATCACGCTCAATTACTACTTATTCCACGTGATTACTCGTCCTAATCAGGTCTCTTTATGTCCCAAAAATACTGCCTGTCCTCCGACTGTACCTCTTTGTCTAAATCCAGTTGTCACTGTATTGAAGTATTGAATAAAAATATAAATTCAACAAAGATAAAAAGGAGCACGACTACAGATTTTGACCGCTCGGTTTTAAGAGCTGAATATGATTTTTAATTTTGACGCACTATAGAGTCTCCAAGTACAATAAGTAGTGGTACTTAAATCACAATGAAGAAACACAAGAATCTAGTAAGGACATGTAATGTTTCAAAAATTCCTCAGAATGACAAGAATATTGATTTCTATTTTATGGCTACGCCATCCTTCTTCTGTTATCGTCCCGATCAAGTATGGAATGGCCGTTCTGGCGCCCAATTATTAGGCGGCGGCATCGCGAGTGATTCTCTTAGCCATCCTCTAAGCTAAATCATTCACCTCAGTCGTTGCAATAGGAAGGAAATTCTAAGGTATCTCCGAAACTTCGGAAATATACTGTACTATCTCAGTACATTACCTGTTATATGACGTCGTGCCTGACTCGTAAAGTAAATTGGAATAAGTACCGGCGCGCACATGATGGACGCGGATTTCCAGATAGTTTGCTATGATGATATATATGTTTTACTGCTTTAGCGAGTTCTCTATGCTTACTTCCGTAATGCCGTTGCATGAAGTAGAAAGCGGAAAGGTAATAGGAAATGAACATGTAAGAGTTAAAAATTAAAGATTTCGTTAGATTGACGTGGAAGCAGAAGAAAAATAAAAGAAAAAAAAATAAAAGAAGAAAAGAAATGAAGAAAAGAAGAAATGAAGAAATGAAGAAATGAAGAAAAAGAAAGGAAAAGAAGAGGAGGGGAAAAAAGTGAAATAAAAAAATATGTAATACAAGACGTAAAAGGAAATAATAATACCAAATTAAATCAAAACAAAGACAGAACAAAAAAGGACTAATAAATAGAAAATAGAAAAATATAACCAAATTTGGACACAGAAAAATAACAAAGAATCTCGTGGAGCAAAGCGGTTTTCTTAGGACCCACTTCGTATTGGATATCTCGTCTAGTGGATGTACCATGGAAAGCTGTTATATGGACGTAGAAGATGGACTCAGACTCGTATAGAAGGGTAATTGGGTAGGGCTTCGTGTTAAGGAAATATGATGATATTATAAATATCTCGAAGCTTAAAATGTAAACCAGTAGAGTAGGAATACGCTCGGAATTTCTAATAGGGGGCGGAACGGGTAACGCAACGCGGCCCCACCTGTGTAAATCAAATGGCTTTTTGTCGATGTCGGGAGACGAGAAGAAGTTGAATCAATGCGTTTTGTAGATGTGTACTTTGCATGAGAGCCAGTGTAACCCCATATGTCGACAGTTTTCTTAAGGCTTGAAGATACGGTACCCGTAGTGCTTGTGGCCAAAGGCATAGACGAAGAAGTCTTTCCTCTGCTATTTGTAGCTGAGTGGGATCGGATCGTCGACGTAGCATTGGTCACTCCGTCACAATAGAAGAGGAATTGTTGGAATTCCGGAAGAGCTGAGCTCGAAGTTCGCACCACCGAGCCGGACTCGACGCATGACTTGCAAGCACGATGCGACACCTGAAATGGAGAATCCGGCGAGCATAGCTCGTGGGTCTTCGTGATAGACTCGGCTGCCTCCATCGCATTGTTACACGAGTCATAGCATTTCCCTGGGATCTTGACAGCCCATTCTCGTTGCGCATTTGCACGCAAGTCGGGAAACTCGAAAATGTCGTACCCAAGACCAAATTTGAGAGGGCTCAAGTTGATAAATCCCTGGGCCACGGTGTAACGGATCTGGTTGGAGGACGTTGTCCACCCTTGCGAGGAATCTTTGGGGAGTGGAGGGCTTGGAATGCATTCATCAGGGGCACAGTAATAGGTATCCGCTGGTACTCCAGCCTCAAAATTACATTCTCCGTTTGCCGTTTTTTTGGATGGACTGCAGAGAGAATGTGGCGGACAGCCCCATGTGTAGTCACGAGGTGGTCGGGATATCGGGGTATACGTGGGATTGACGACTCTAGGTGGACAGATGGAAAGCGATGGCCCTGGTCACATTAATCACCATAATCTCGGTCTTCCCTGGGTCTGTACTTACGGACGGAAGAAGATGCAGAAGATACGACATCACTGGGACTGTTAGTCTGGTATTGAGTATCGTGAGAGTCAGAGGGCCTGGGTACGAGACTGGCGGGGTTGACAGATGTCTCGTTGGAAGTTTGACTGGTGATTGCCCCAGGTTCGCCAGTGTGGGACTTGGTGGCAGTTTGGCCCACGTATGTTGTGTCGCTGAGAAGGGACGACCCCGTTTTGTCAGCCAGTGACGGCTCAGGCTCTCTCTCGGTGTGCTGGCCCTCCAGACGCACAGATGTTGAGGAAAACATGTCGGTGGTGCGGATAACTGTAACCGTCGTCGAGAGACTATGTTGCTGGCTCTCGGTGACGGTTGTATCGACCACGGTGGTGACTGTTACAACGAGTGCGGAGTTCCCGAACAAGCTTGGGCTCGACAGCCCTGTGACATCTGACGATGTGGAAAGGTCGGCAGAAGACGTCATTATTGGTTTTGTAATTGTCGTATCGCTTGGGACTGACGTTGTTATCCCGCTAGTTAGATAACTGGTGTCATGGACCGTGATCATGCTATATTGAATGGAGGTGCTTGGAGACTGGGCGAGAGAGCTTGCATCGGGCGTAGACTCCGTCCACGAAGTCGATTGGACTGTCGGTGATATTTCCACTTGCGAGCCGCCGGTCGCACTAGTGTCAATTCCAGTATTTGTGGAGACCATGGTCGTCGAACTGTGAACAGACACCGCTGAAGATGTAGGGATAACTTCAGTCTTCGTGATGATGGACACATCGCTGGAAGATGACGTCTTCAGGCCGGTCAGCGTCGTGGTTGATGGTACTGTAGTCCAGCGTGTTGCATAGCTAGTGTCGTGGATAGTCACTGTGGTGTATTGCAACGACAGGCTAACATTCTGTGTAGGATCACTTGTCGTCTCAATCCCGGAACTAGTGCTCACGCCTAGTGTAGAAGATAAGGCAGGGGAAGAGCTGGCAGTCAGCGTGATAAAGCTCACCACTGTGGTGATGCTCCAGTCCGTCACAGTAGAGACATCGCCTATAGTTGTTTTAGAAGAGTCTGGTATGCTGCTTGTGACTGGGAGGTCCGTCGATGTGGATTGAAACTCTGTGCTAGTTCGCGACGCTGTAACCTGTGGAGAGGAGCTTTCTAGCAACGAACTTGTCGTCTGGGCCTCTTTGGTACTACTGGGTGTGCTCAATGTAGTCTCTGTACATGTACAGTCGGTGGTATCCGTGGACGTGGAGGTGACAGTGATAGTGATCATGCGCTTTCCAAGTCGGGATGTAATTCGCTCTGTTGTCACTCCGACCCGTCCCATCTGACAGGAGGGCGCTGTTTGACTAGAAAGCGAGTCGGACGCCTCAGAAGCCACCAGTAAACGAATGCAGTAGATGCACAGAAGAACGAGCGACAGATGCAGACTCCGCATTGTATATGGCAACAAGAGATTTCAAAAGGGGGACGGGACGAGGAGGATATCAAGAAGAAACTTCATCGTGGTCTATTGCTTCTTTATAGTTGCTATCTAGTGTTATGCTATCGTTGTAGATAATTCACTGGAACAGAGTTTCGATTCAGTCAAGGAAACTGAGAAGGCAATCCTATTGGAAAGGTCTCAGTCCCCGCTTGGGCCATGATACGTAGATCCACAAGTCGAAAGATCCCAAGAAGTTGATGCGTACACCAAAGCGACTCGCTGGTGAGTGGATTTCTCATTGGTGCCGCCACACTGGTGCTTGAGATCCACTCATGTCTCAATGTAGGGGATAGGTGTTTCTGGTTAGATAAAAAGCCGCCATGAGTGAGTTTTTATCGAGTCAAGAACACTACAACTATCTATCTCAACAAAGCCCATCTTTTAATTTCGAACATTTATCAGTAGCCCGCACGTCTCTTGGCTTTTTGGTCAGTATGGACGCTAAGGCCGAGCTTTGCCTTCGAGACCAAATCTTTGAATCGACTGCCACTGCATTGGACGTAATAAACGAGATGAGTTCAAGTGGGCTTAATGAGCTTAATACTCTTGAAGGAGGCCTGCGATCACTTTGAGATACGTTACTCGGTGCCTACCACGTTGTCACTCCAGAGATCGACCCATTCTATTATCTGTCTCCGGCTCTGCAATTGTCTAAAAACGCCTTGTTTGGGTGACCATATACGTGGTTTAAAAGGACATATGGCGTTGGAATGTAGCCCCGGAGAATTTCAGAAGGCCCTTGAAGTGTCATGCCATCCACTTGGCACGTTTATGACTGTCATTCAATGGTCATCAGTCATTCTTTCGGCAGGTGTGATAAGTACACTATAAGAATTTGGCTAGTGCGCCCGGCAAAAATGGCGATAAAACTAAAGTCGATGTATGGCGTGCGTCTCCAGTGCTATTCGTGACCTTGGGAAGCATTAAGCCCATCTCAATACTAGCGACGGAGCCGTGCCTTTGGTCTCCTTTAGCTCATATTCAAGAACCTTGAACACCACAACGGACTCTAGGAAGTAGCCCTCCGCATGATACAGCATAGATTGGCATATATATTTTCTCTTCCGTTCCGTTGGCTAACATCGAACCAGGGTGTAGTAGTCACATATAAGAAATGCGATGGCGATGGTTTCTCGAAATCCAAAATATACTCGGCTGTCAGATCAACTTGGAGAAAGCAGATATAATGTTGTGTTGCGTTGATTATTATGATGCTATCACAGACGGTCAACCAAAGTGTAAATATCGACATCAATTCAATGTACCTTTGTTCCGAATGATCATCGGCAATCTTTGACAACCTAGTCGCTAACGCTTCGCAGACCATCTGCGCAAAACATGTATCTGATATCACCGGCCTACCGTTCTCTAGGGTTTGAAATCGTGCCTTCGCCTCCAGAATTGCAACGTGGTTGTTGACCAGGCTGAAACCACCCCCTGGTTTTTCCCGTCGTAGACAAAGTCCACCATCATCGGTCGCAATCACCACTTGCTCTGTAAGCACAGTGGAAGCAGATAATCTAGTCTTGGCGTCTCTAAAGTCCACGACAGCGGTGTTTAGGGGGTTTTCTTGAGGCGGAGCAAAATAGAGTATATGTCGGATCACGCACGACGCAAGTCGCAGAGTGTCGTCTTCCGGTGTAACTCCCAAACAATGGTCCTTAAGGTCAAAGTAGCCCAGCGAAGAACTTTGAGAGCCATCGTAGGAATCATCATGCGGTGGACTACTCGACCCAACTTGAATCCCTCCGGAGTCGACAAAGTCTCCCTGACAGGTATATCGTCGCGGTCGCTTTGCCGGCCTCATTTCAGCGCTATCAGCAGGCGGATTTTCCGATCGCTGATTAAGGGCATAGACGCCTCGACGCTCCGGGTTGCCCTTAAATGTAGCCAACGCCGCCCAAACTTGAGCTAACGAAGTGCTACAAGTGGCCATCCGCACAAGATAGTGCTCGCTTTGAGACATGAGGGACAAGTCGGGCCCCCGTAGAAATGATTTGATCTCAGTAGACGCTGACTGTAAATCAGATGATAAGCTAAAGTTTGACAATATGGGAAGCAAGTTAGGCTGGGGGCCTCGCCGAATTACACGACAAGCAAAAAGATGATCCCGTCCCCAAGAACTGGCAGCTTCATCTAAATCAAGGAATTGTTTGCCTTTTTCTGCGTTGTAACGATTCCAGGCGGACTCAGAGTTGACACTGTTGAAATAAGATATTGATGACATTTTATGTACGAAGTTGCGCTTCAATTCCCGCGGAATCCTGGAGAACGTTATCTAAGGCGGTCAGAAAACGCACTAGGCGGTCGGAATTTTGCCATTCACAATAGATTGACTAATATGTTCATGGTCAAACCCCTACTTTGTTGGGCTTGAGGCAAGCTCACAATGAGTTCAAATAGCACGACAACCTCCCTCCATGATCTTGTGTGTAACCATTTCCGGCACTTGAGGAACCCATTACTGTGGACCTCGCGTCATCTCAGGCTGATAGGGTGTCGATTCGGAGACATCAACACTGCCTCTGTTCACCCGCAAAGGTCTCGAGAAGCTAACAAAAGGGGTGGAGAGGGTTGTTACCACGAATCAAAAGATGTTCATGCTATTGCTACGAATCTTTCAGGGGATAAGAAGCGTCAGTGTCTTGTCAAGGTTCTAACAGGCGGAGCGCGCGTCTTTACCACCCCTAGGTATGACTCTCCAGAAGGGCTACTTGCGAAGCAGCTAACCAACTCTGAATAGAAAAGGACCTTTCTTTCACTTCCAATGTCGCCCTATCCATCGCCCAGACTACCTAATCTTCCACCGTCGTGAACCCTTTTTTCCTAGATCCTCAACCCCGTTAGTGGGTTATGTCCACTACACAAAGATTGGACGAGATCGCACGCGATATTTAAAGCATTCGAGAGCCACAACAACAGCCCCAACAGAATGGAGCGAAGATCCATATTTTTTGTGCCATCTATTAGCGCTCGCGCAGCTTCAGGAGCAGATGTCGCTATCGACATCACCCAAGGTGTTCACATTTACGGTTCGTCCTCGCAGACTGATTCTATTCCAACTCACTAATCCTCTTCCAGTCACGCCTACTCATCACGAACGTACTCGATTCGGAGTATATTTTCCTTTTCGAAGCTCAAATTTCTCGCGAGCTTCTAGATGGGCTGCGAGATCTGAAAATTGCCGTTCACCCCATAACATGGCCCACAATACGACGAAAACGAATTCCCTTCCAACCATACAGCACCTTCCCCTCTCGACTTATGGCTGAACTGGTCGCCTACTGTGAGCCCTTCTCTCCCCGCCAAAAGAGACCACGCGAACAAGAAAAGCAAGGAGCTTTGAAAAGAAGACGCATAAACTCCTCGTCGGTGGAAAAAGTAGGCGATTGCCAGTCAGTGAACTAATGCGCCAATATTTCTATACGGGCGCATATTAAATATATTGGACCAGTTTTTCTCCATTCACGCCATGCATACTCTCACAAAGAGCCAGTCGATAAATAAGCCTCTGTGTGAATGCCACCGCATATTGTGACGATGTATCTTCCAATAACACTTTGATGTTTGACGCCCGACCAGGAATTCTTTTGGGAACATCATGTTCAGCAAGTTATCAAGCGAGCAAGTGGAAATACCATTGCGACCTAGCAACAAGGACCGAATCATACGGCTCGTGTCTCCACAAGATCAGAATCATGTCGCGCCCTGACCTTGATCTCAGACCGAGAAGCGGCTGCTAGCAATATTCGGAGCCGGTGTCGGCCGACTTCATGGATTGCTATGTCTTTGAATACCGCTTTTTGTTGATGGCCACTATCCATGACGGTCTTGGGTGATGGGGTCAATGATCTGCAGAGTCCTTTCAAATATTTAAGTCCTCGATCGTCGCACAAAAAAATATTCAGTGCAAAATCCTCTCGCTGCATGCCTCTACGCCTCGAAACTTCCCTGGCATATTGTTGACCTCATTTCACCATTGGCTAATATTTACTTGTCTTAACTTAGGCCACGTGCGGGTATATTAAGTTCAACATATTGTATGCATCATCTTTGGACATGCTGACTTCAACGGTCTGTTTCGCTCAAACATCTGTTCCGAAATGGTAGATTTAAGTTGATCTGCGTTAGTGGTGAAAATTTTCTCTCCACTAGAGCATCCCTTCTCGCTCATCTTCACACTTTGGTCATCTTGAAATTTGTTGTAGCAAAAGCAAATCTAAGACGTGTGATTCGCTCCCTTTAGGATTCTGCTCGGTTCTTCACATCTCTATGCTCTCTCGATACTACTAGGACTCTCGGTTACGTCTGCTAATGCTCTTTTATTACTGCGCTTTAGCCCCCTCTTGGAACACGCCTATCGCTCCACCCTCGATCAGAGTATTCCTATGTCTTTGTCAGTCGCTGAATTTCTTGAGCCATGGACTGTAGATACAGAGGAACTCCGCGACACACTTGCCGACTCGGCTCGATCTATCTCCGTTGACAGGCGCTACGAAGTCCTGGGACAGACTCAATCATGGCACTCGTTCTACTCCCACGATATTCACTCTGCGCCCATCCTTCGTCATTCTTTAGGAACGGAATTTATCCCCCAATGGCAGGCATGGATATCGGACGTTGCCCGCGTTATATATTCTGAAAGAATGCTGGAAAATCTGTACTCCAGTACATTAATTACTCGTGTGAATATCGCTCTTCAGCAAGCAATTCCACCAGGGGATCATCGCATTACCATCATAACGTGCCCGGGTGCTTTTGATAGTCATGATCCTGATGTGAAAGGTGGTAAAAGGACCGTTATACTGCCCGACTGGATTGCTTTAGAAGGAGAATACAATCCGCACGATGATAGTTTCCCGAACCTAGAGGAACTTGCATTACTTGGGAAGGTCGTTGCAGTTGGGGATACAAAACTGGTCAGCCAGCGATTAGCTTCTAGTGGAGTGGATGAAAAGGCCAAGGACACTATTGCAGGTACGCATTCGTGCCACCGGAGTTACCTGGCTCAGGTACAACACTACGCAAAGATGCTCCGTACACGGTTTGGGTTCGTTCTCACAAATAAAGAATTGGTGCTGGCGCAATTCCTGCGCGAAGACGAACCTGCACCACGACTTTATGATCAACGTGGGCTAAGGTCATCAACGGGACCCCCACTACACCCAGGCCTTTCATCGGATTTCCAGAGCTCTGGTGCGGAGGAAATGAATGAGGCGCCAGTCGATGAACTGAGCCCGTTTTATCTTTCTCAGCCGAAGAGACGGCATGACAGCAGTGATAATCCAACCCTGTCACGGCGTTCCCCTGCTCCCGTCGACCCTTCGGAAGATCAGAATATTGACGGGTTGCCTTCGACCCCATCAGCGCCTCCCAGAGTAATTGACGATCTGCCGTCAAGTCCTCCTAGGGCTTCTCGAGCCGTGGAACAACCTATGACTAGAAAGCTAGTATTGACACCTGGTCAACATGCCCCTCAATCTTCACCTCCAATACATGTTACAACCAGTCCCATTCAACCAACGAGCGGGTTAGTGGACTCCTCCTTTGGATTTTTTTCATCCGAGCCAAGCTTTCCCCAGTCGAGCGGTACACCATACCTATCATCAGAACGTGACCATGACATAGGAAAGGTCTTGGTCAAAAGCTTCAGAATTCCAAATCCATGCGACAAGGATGGAGTCCAGATAACAAAGGGCTTACACCCCGCAAAAGCTCTATCTGTAATGTTGATGCACGCCTCCTCCGTCGGTGCACTGGGAAGGCGGATAGGAAAGGACGAAGTACCATTTGGAGGGCAGTTACGCGAAGATGAACAATAAATCCAACATTCAATCAAAGATCCGTAACCACCCCTTGGATAGGCTCTTTTAGCTCGCTGTTCTGTTTCTCCTGTTCATCGAGCGCCAATTTGCCTTCCTAGTCACAAGGATAATCAGGTTCAACTAAAGACAAAGAAATCATTGTGAGGTCACTACATTGGTGGATAACTGAACTAGTCACTGTCAATTTACCACCCTCAATTTGGCACCGACGATTGTTCACCAGTCGCTTTTGTTCCTGTGATTTTACTACCTCGGAAGACCTTTTTACATTATTGAAAATTTTGAAGAGAGGGGTACATCGTATGAGAAGGATGCCTATGCTGCCTGGGTAACACGACTTAAATTGACAGAATACCTACAGATAGAATGCTAGAGGAAGAAAAACGCCCAAGGAAAATGGCTAGCTTCTGCTCTGGTCAACAATGTGGATGGGAAGCCGAAAAGTATGATTCGCGGAATGGAAATGTTGAGGGCTGGTAATTGAAGGTCATTTAAACAAGCTTACTTGCATGGATAAATCATCGTGAATTCAAAACCTTAATAATGATGTTTGGAGGCAATTTGAACGTATTGGCTTGGGGGATGACAGGAACTGGTTGAGAGCACTATAGTAATAAACAGGGCAGTACATCCAAGTCGTGGGTTTGATGGTCTTTGGGGCTTCATCCTCAGTCATGATTTCATGATGTTCAACTAGCATGCGTAGGTTTTTTTCTTCCCTAACTTTACAAGGGATTGGAGGTCGCCGGCGTCGGACACTGACTGCCGCCGGTTGGACGCTCACCACTGCAGTAATGCATCTGGCTCACCTGGGGGGAGCCGTTGCTGCTCATGTTGGCATGACCACGCCATGTGCCCAAATAGTTTCTTTTAATTTCGCATTGTTTCACGCTGCTGACGTATCTTACGCTATCCAACATGTAAACTTTGCCACTTGAGAGTACCAGAACGCCTCGACGAGGCGGATAATCACGCTCCTAGTCGAGCCCCAACCAAAATCTTTTCGAGTTTGCCAATCTTGTGTTACATCGCTTTTCCTTATTGGCCTAGACTACTGTAGTGAAAGGGTCATTGCTAAATTCTTTTCCAATTTCCAACCTGAAGTCGAGCCTAGTTTTCCTAGCAGGATATCATAATTAAGCGAAAGCGCCCCTGGATAGAAGAGGTTCCAAGTTAGGCTAGAAGGATCTATCTTCTCGCCTCCTCATGGCCTTGCGTTTCCATGTCTTTTGGCTGCGAGCTATCATTCCCGGAAGATTCTGAAAAGGGAACTGGAGCAGAGTAACCCCCAGAGTAAGAAGGCATTACTGCCATCAGCTGTCGCTGCACGGTAACATTGGGATGGCCTCAGGTTGTGCAGTTTCCTATCGTACAGTGAATAATTCTTTCATAAATACTTTTGCGCCACTCGTTCCAGCGGCGATGGATCTGACGGATTGACGCGGAGCCGGTCTGACCGTCTCCACTCTTCTCTTTCAAAAGACCAGAGCTCGATCTCAATCTGCTTTTAAGGGGGCCGCTCCTCGACTGTCCTTGAGGGCACATGATCGACTGCGGAGGATGCTTGGGCAGGGATTTCTCCAGCAACTGGAAGAGGGGGGTGGAGATCTACAGCGGGATCTGGCATCGCTGGGGAGAGTTCCTACCAGGACTTCGTGGGTGCCTCGGCTCGGCAATCAAAGCGCAGTGACGATGAAACATGTCTGTGTCGGCAACCTCAGCATCAGCGTGCAAAGGGTCCAAGAACAGCAAAGGTCCATCTTGCTTGTCAGTCCGTGTTTGTGGTTCCCCAGAACGAGTCTTCAGCTTCATTGCGCTATCCGCCAGAAGTCCCTGAGGCTGTTGCGATTGGCCGGAAACAGCTTTGGCGAAACAGCTCACGATATGATTGACCAATTTGGATCCGGGACATCAACATATAGTGCCTGATTGCGTAAAGCCATATTGGTACATATCCCGTCTCGAGGCGTTCCATATTAATCCGCCAGCTTTTCTTTGGCAAGATACTTCTGTTTAGCTCAGACACATGGAAATCGCAGGCGGCGATGTAGTTCGTTTCTATGTCGAAAGGGCATTTGAACATCTTAGTGACGGGTAGCTTCTGCGGATCGAAAGACTGGGACACCTGACATAGAGAGCCAAATGACAATATGAGACCTCCATTACTTGTTGCGATGACTGCGGTTTGATAACTGGCGTCTATGGAGGTTATAGCCCAAATGGCCTATGGCTAGTGTTAGGGAGCTGGAGCGGGAGGGGCTCCCACACTTGATAGTAACCCTAACAAGAACATTACAACTACCGATCTCAGCAGAATCTATGGACGATTCGATTCACGCATTTCGAACAGGTTCGCGAACTCATATCTAGTATTCAAGCAGGGGTTTGCTCATGCGGACAGCCATAACCTCAACAACTCTAGCCACTGCATCATTGCATTCGCACCAAAGATGTTCTGGGTACACGGTCCATAATTGATGATGGGATAAGCTACTAAGGACAAGCGAACTTCATGCAAGAATTGCCCAGAGTCAGAGTCAACGTTGACGTTTTCTGAGCTTGTAGTTCTTGGTGATTCTCTGAGGCTTTTCTCTTCTTGAGCATTGCGCGTGAGGCTGGATGGGGCGATTGACCGCGTGCAGTGGGTTGCCCCCGGAGACTATGGGGAAGGCATCATACGGCAGCTTATCGTCGTGGATCATAATTGGATCATCGCAGTCTTCCCAAATGACAAAGCTCACTGGCTTCAACGCAGTTTCGCTCGAACGGTCAAAATCGAGTTCAGACGAATCTGTGGCATTCGTGATCTCTTGGAGATGCGCTCGATCTATAATTGCTAACCATGAAGCTCTGCGGCCTTTGGTGGATGATCTCCACATAGCTTAAAGGCCAATTTGCTCGGTGTCACCAGCTCTGCAGGGCCTTGAGAACATTCCATCGGCATTTGATCGTGCTCATCATGGCTTATCGTAGCTCGTTGGCTTCGTCTTCGTCGCACAAAAAGCACACACAGGGCCCCGTCAATTGCCATGTGCGCTCGCGATCGTATATTTTCTGTGTATCCTTGCATCGGAATCCTACGCTCAGATGTTGTAGAGCAGATTCTCTCACATACGACAACATGTTGCCTGAGTCTCAGTGCTAGAGCCAATGCTAATCATCGAACTGTGCGCGATTGAGTAATGGCTGGGGCACAAGCCTGGTGAAAATATCTGCTTGACCCCCAACCAGATGGCAGACATTTCAAGTGATCCATGGACACCAGGTGCGAACACGTGGCATATTGCAAGACCCATCGTGGTGCGTTGGCCCTTTTCTAACATGGACTGTAAGGTCATAGGGTCGATGGCCGAGCTCAAGGCTACCTTCGGGGCCCATGGCTCGCACTCATCAAAAATCCACACGTACTGGCTTTACCCAATTCAAACTGAAAACCACAAACAGCCTTTCACGCTGTCGGTCTAAGCTCTCGAGGGTTCAACATCAGCCGTAGGAGGGTCTGAGCGTGACTCATCATTCGGCGAGTCGATGATCCATATTCTTCTTTTCTTCACATTGTGGGCCAAATACTGCCCTTCGGGCTTTAATCTCGGCCTGCATGGCTCAAAACGTTCTGAGACGATCTGGTGGGCCCGTTGAGTGGGGCTGGACAGTGGGGGCCATTCCGGGAGACCGTCAGGGGCACTCCCGAGCTTGACTGCTTAAAGGAGAGCTATTTCAGGCCAACCTGGGGTAGAGGAAGAACAAAGAAGTTCTGTAAATCCGAAAACTCGAAGAGAATTGCACCGCTAATAATAATAGCCTCTCAACAAGTAGAATCTACCCGTCGGTAAAGATACCCCCGAGGTGATACGGCAAACGACAAAGTGGCCACTTGATACTTGAATCCATACGATACTTAGGTCCTGTCAACAAATTGGGACGTAGATAATCAATATACCACGACGAGCGGACGGTCGCATGAAGACACTGGTCGGCCGAACATGTCTAGATAAGGAGACGCTTTGGGACAACTAGGCCTAGTGGTGCGCAAGACAAGACAAGGCTCACAGGGCGCTCGATCGTGTTAAATGGATATGTTCCTTGCACCAAAAGCAGATGACGGAGGTATGGTATCGCTGATTCCAGGCTGGAGACCGAGTCCAAGCCCACAAGCTTCGTGAGCCCATCTTCTCCAACCGTGGGATAGCTCCTCCCATCTCAGCGTTGATGTGGTAAGATATAATGATAAGTTGGAGTCTGATTCAGGGGGGTTCTGCCTCGAGTGTTGACTGGAGGCTCTGCAGGCGAATGAATTTCGATCCGACCTATTCATTTTCATTGTGGCTGAGCGCCCGGGCGAAGATTGGGCTGTTGCAGATGATCGACAGCGAAGCCACCAATCACAGTACGCATTCGTGTCAAGAGATGAGCAGGCTGATTGGGGGCCGAATACTGCCCGCTGTACGGAGTCCGAAGTAAAGATCTACATATGACTAGTATATCCATGGATTCAGGCGTGAGGCTGCACCTTTCGGTATTGGTTGCCGTTGCCTGACGGACTTGGCTGTGGCTGCGGTTTGTTCCTTTGGAAGGGCGCACACCCATCCGATGGTATAGGCATCGTGAACGAGTCGCTTTCGGCATGGGGATATATCGAGCCTCGGGACGAGTAATATTGTGTGTTGAGATAAGTGGTAGTATTAAGTCAAGTTAGCTTAGCCATATTGTTGGAGTTAGGACTCCTCATCTATTTATATGTGTCTTGAACGATCCCAACGTAGGCTCGGCCACCGTGATACTCAACAATTAGGGTCAGACCTTTGCCGCGATCATTGCCGAGTAGAATGTCTGGCGGTGAGACCATCGCTGCGCCTCCTTCGCTTCCAGAGTTGGTATGGCATGGTAGAATGAGCTCAAGGATATTGGCTCAAATATACTCGGATCCATCGTGGTGATATTCAGGGTTCTTCGGTGCTAAAGAATTCGCCACTTGAAGAGCCACTGGAGCGAAGGGAGTGGAAAGTTGTAGGAGGGGGAAAACCCTCAGTAATGTCGCCGACATTATGTCGGTGTATATATCACGTGAGGCAGCCCCATTAAAACGACTCCCTTTATACCTCCAATCGAGAGAACTTGAGATGAAACCAATATCCTGTAGTATTGAGCGGAAATATATAAAAAAATGAAAAGACCGGATAGCTGCTTGTCCGCCGTATCGGACCCTGCTTTCAAAACAGCTGTGGGCCAATGTTGCATGCCTGATTGGACAAGATATGGCCTCTGCAGACCGCCTTCTTTAACCAACCGGGAAGTGGAATGTCCATAGTCCAAGTAGCAAAAATGTGGACCAATTAATGAAAAAGGGTGGTCCTTCTAGCAACCTGCTGTTTAAGGGGTCGTTTTCCCCGCTGATCAACCTCAACTTGTTTCCACCCAACTTGTTCGTTGCGGCACAACTCGGATGGCCAACTTTCTTAACTCTCTCACTGGAGCTAAAACTAATTGTCTATGAGAGCCTACCTGATCTAGATGATTCTGTTCGCCTCGCGAGGACATGCCAAGCCTTATCCGAAGTGTATCATCAGCACAAGAGTACAATACTTTGGTCGATAATTGTAACGATTCCCGCTCTAACTCCTATTATGAAAATACTCATCCTCAATAGCGAAAGTCTGATCATCATAAGTATGATGCTTCTTTGTGTAGATTGCATGATGAAATGTACGGCGCAGAAGAAACATCGATATGCAAACTTCCGACTAAGCCACTTCAGCCTATCGCCTGGATGTTTGGGAATTACTCTAGGATTGACCATCCTAAAGCTATGAGCAAACAAGGCCCTGCCAGGCATCTCAAAAATATACTTTGCTGGTGGCAACTCACGAGCTGGCTTCGGAACATCTACCTTAATAACATGGAATTGTACTTGTCCGTCCTGTCCTTTGTCGATTCGGAACACATGACATCAAAGCAACAGCAACAATACGCCCTGGCGTTGTATTTTGATCGAACATATGGTATCACCGGCGCAATATACCAGCAATTCTCGGATCGGGAATTCCACGATGTCTCCAAAAGAAAGTTCTATCGAGCCGTCATGGGCCGCCTTCTGGACACCAAGATCCTTCAATTTGCTACATTGTGTCAAAGATCAGCCAGTTCTAATCGGCTTTTGCAACACATCCGCTCTATGTGGTCTGGGAGTTCGGAACGTACCCCAGAAGAGTCACTCGAAATCCTAGAGGCGTTTGATTTCATCTCCAACTTTATGCTTCTACATATTCTTCGTGGACCCTATACTTTCGTGGAGTGGGGTCTTTCGTTGGATAGTGATGAAGCAAGGGAGGCTCTCTTGTCGGACCCTAACGATACGTTACTCAGTAACTGGGTGTCTCTGCTACCACGCCTCCAGCTATACTTATCGCCGTTTGACATTCTTGCCGCTTTTAGAATGGATGAACTAAACAGTGAGACCTCGCGGTATTTTGCCTCGCTGCTTGCACTTTCAGCCCATGACCAAGGCCCTCTAGGTATGGGCGAGATAGAGAATGAAGTGTCTTACAAGCTGGAGCAAGAATATCATGTGGCCGGCCACACCTGGAAGACGTATCGCCACCACGGTTGGAGGACTGGTGCCAGAGGTGCAATTTTCGACGCACGATCCAGTGCCAAGAGAATTGCAAGTGAGATTACTCGAATCAAGTGTGACGGTCGCGACTGGTGGACATTGATAGAGCAGGCATCCAATGATGCGCCGGTGGCATTGGATTTCCGCGTTCCTGATGATTTCCTGACGATATTTTCCTCGTTCGGTGAAAGCACAGACATTGACGATATTCGCTTCGTCATTACCAAGGAAAATTTTTCAAAGCTAAAATGATAACGATGAGACCTTGATGAAAACATACAAGCATGTCGAAGTTGGATGTGCCACCACGGTGCGTCTAGGGGCCATTTTTTCAGTCACACCGCCACTTTGATCACACAGTTTCCGACCTCTGATTCGCCGTGAGTCGAACCGGTGACATCGATACAGGTCACATAAGCTACTTTGTTCTTAGTCTGATAAAACCATATTCGCTCGTGGCGATGTCCTTGGAAGAATCCTGCACTCGGATCAATTGGTAAGTAAGCAGCCGCGGAAAAAGTAGCTTTGCTCCATCTGATTGAGACGTCGAAAACTCTCCTCATCCATGTCGAAACAATTTGTCAATAACCAGGATCGGCACACGACTGAATCGAGGCACTTGCCAAGGGTGGCCACGCCATGAGATACTTTCTGTGTCTTAATATTTCTTGTCTACTTGTCAAAGCCCCCACTAGCCCGTGCCTGTCTGCAGAAGCCTGCAGCATTATCACAGCTTTTTCCACTATTTTTGGGGTTCAAAAGCCACGTAAACATTGACTGAGCATGAAAGGCCCAACTGGTAGTGGAAATTGGAGCCGCCAAAATCTCTCTACAGCTTTACTGAGCCTTAGCTTTGTGCTAATCCTCGTGGGTGGTTGTTGCTCTATGTTGAATGGAGGCAGTTTTTGATTCCGTGACACGTGTCAAGTGGCCTATGACTCTTCAGTATCAGGCTATTAAGGCTTAGACCTTCTATAGCTAGCACTCGGACATTGTCCCATTACTTTTATGGCCGGCTACTCACTTCGATATTCTACTGTTGCCGGTTATGTCAGCATTTAGCAGTCTAGATTCTCTTCCTTTCGACCCCTTTCACCCGATCACCCTATCACTTCCTTGTATAATGGTCAGCTGAACATGGAGCATCTTGAAGAGTGTGATCAAAAAGCACAAAATTGCGGGTCGCAGAATATATGGATCGACGTCATTCGTAAGCGCGCACTAGGCTCAAGAAGTTCTTCTGATAATTTCTTATTGCAATGCATTGGGACGCTTTGGGCCGCCTGAGGCTCGGAAATAGCTCCAATTGTGATCGAAAAACACTATTTTGAATGCCTCAGGTATTTGAAGAGGAAGCATAACAACATCTCAACGAATAGTGTTGAAAACCCCCAGGCAGTAGCATAAGTCCCATCAGATTGGAAAACTTCACGGATGATCAATGGCATTTCTTATAACGGACTCACTAAGTATGTAGATACTACTTCAAAGCAAGGACCCGTATGCCGCGATACTCACTATCAAATGGTGCTGAGTGTTCCCCTCTTGTACGCGTGAGCTTGCTCTTACCATACCCAAGATCGATCACTTAGCAGCTATCAGCCTCAGCAGAGAAAAAGCGCAGAATTTAACTCCAAGATGATATTCGTTATCCTTAGGAAAGATTTGGTCTCTGAAGGCAAGAGATAACTGTGGGAAGCATAAAGTTCCCATACGTCTTGTTAAGCGCTGGACGGCAAACCCCTATTCCAATGTTGTTCAATCAGGGCCCCAGGCAACACAGGCATTGTTTCAACGCGCCTGTAAACTCTCAAAGCCGGCTGAATTTTTTTTGACCTCCTGTTTTTCTGGTAGATGATTGCGCAAGGCGCTTTCGTGGCGCGGACAATACGCTTCAATTCTGCGATCAGACCAACAAGTTTTCGGAGGTTCTCTTGGTGTTGTAACTCCCATGCCAGAAACCTCGAACCGGCGTCCCATTCTTGAACCCGGGTAAATGTGCCCTCGCGGTGATACCCGATCATAATTCGGGGCGTGCGGCTGAACCACAGTTGGGGCATAAATCCATCGAGGCGACAGCGTTCCTGACACGATTTTATTTCTAACGTGGCTGCCGTAGGAATTCCGCAACCCCGATGCAGAACCTCGGTTGGCTTGTAGTTGTCCGTAGATGTGACCGGATAATTTTTGGTGGAGGCTGATCGAGGTGCATCCGCAACAAGCCCAGTCAGACTCTGCGGTTCGCCAACCTTCACATAATATGCATCCACTTCGGACCGTACGACACACTTTAGGGCTCCAAGTGTATAATGTATGACTCGGTGGTGGTCTGTACTGTCGACTAGATCCTCCTGATAATTGGAGGAGAATTTTTCAAAATTGCTCCCGTATGCTGGGTTATGGGAGCCCGAACGAAGAACCGAATTGTTTGCCTCCCACCGCGTCATGAAGAGGGTGTCATTCACAATGTCCAAGTCGATCCTGAAGTCCCGCCGAGCTGCACCCTCCACCCATTGCAACAGCTTCCTGAGATTGTTGCGGTTTGTTACCAAATCCACGTCGTCGAAGCGGAAATCTGAATTCACGGCCGTCAGGGCCCGAAATACGGGCTCGAAGTGGTATGTTGGTATAGGGTGGTATTGCTGCTCCTCTGGACTGGTAGGGCAGTCGCGGGTCAGGGTTATGGGAAGAGGATGAGGACTCCACTTGCGTGGCGCACCTGAGGATCATGTCAGTTGAGAAATCAGAGGTGCCGAAGACAATAATGAAATTCGGTACCGGGAACATAAATCGACGGTTCGAGACATCTTCTCCAATTATAAGAGCAGAGAAAGTAGCAGGGTTCGCTGCTTGAGATGGCCTTGTCACTATGGAGAACCTCTTTGAGGTCAATGCGTAGTATCAAATCCGCCGTGTTCTTGAAGATGCTCCGGGTGCCCTTCGTTCTGATTAGTGCCAAGAAGAGCTAGCAAAAGGTGGTCTCAATTACTTCTTCGCCGGCCTCCGCCATCGTGATTGGCCTTCAAAATCGGTCAGGATTTGAGCTTGGTATGTAATTTCGTAGGCAGGTGCTTTACCCTCTGGATAAGAAAGACCGTTAATGGCTTCTGATAGACAGCGAAATGTTCGTCTTTGAGGGGTCGGGCTGTTCTCTCATTGATAAGGCGGACCTCACCTCGCCCCTCTTCAGCAGAAGCGTGACCATGCAGCCACGATAAACGTGGCTTCGACTTATTGGCCCGACATAGTGCTCTGATATTACATCCCGGATTTTTACAGGCGGTACGAATTGTTGAGGTTCCAACATAAGGTAATTGATGTCCCAATCCTGAACTGTGTCGGCATGCCTCTTCGGGCGATCTGGGGGCCGTATGTTTCCTGATTGATTGATGGATTGATTGATTGATGGATTGATTGATTGATGGATTGATTGGTTGATGGATTGATTGGTTGATGGATTGATTGGTTGATGGATTGATTGGTTGATGGATTGATCGGTTGATGTTTCTCGTTGCTTTTCGCAAACTGAGGTCGAATACAGCCCCCTGACAAGTGTGCACTGCACCACTTAGCATATTGTCAGGGATTGTAAACCTTGGATCACTGGCGGAATCATGCTTCAAGATCAGTTTCACCATTGTTCTCTTCACATTAATATTACAAAAATGAAGCATCCAGTGGCCAGAGACGTGTCAGGTTATGCCCAAGCTATGTCATGTCGCCTTAAGACATGTGGGGCTCCATATTTCAATACACAGGAAAAATCGGAGTGGGATATTTCTCCTACCGAGGCGAGTGTTTGGGGGTTGGAAGGGCGTGAATAAAAAGGGACAACTAATTTTGCAATTGGATCCCTCAATCTGATACAGCTATAATATCGCTACTGTAGTCGGAATGCGAGAATCTGATCCGTCGACACTCGAGAGAGAAAGAGATATGAGCCCTGTAGGCCTTGAGGAGTCAGAAACGACCGCTTTGAATGGAAAGGACAAAGCTTTTTGGTGACCTTTACACCGCCGCCCTGGCTCGGCGGACATGTCCCGGTAGAGGGTCGTTCGTGGATGGTTGGTGATGCATTGGAGCCGACATCATGCGTGAATCATAACCAACGTTCGAAACGGTACGGGCCGGGAGGTCACCCGACCGCTGATCACTTAGCATGCGTGGAATGTGGGGGTTCCAGTAACACGCGCATGATCCGTTATTTTCTGCTATCCCTCTTGCAAGCATCTCCGTCAAACCTAAACCTCGACATGCTCGATTTGAGGCTTTTGAATTTGAGAAGTACAGCAACTCCGCTCTTGCACTGTAGACGCTCCAACTAGGCCTGGGTCCAGGACATTAGGATCGTACTGCACCTATGGAATACGGTTACGAGCTGGAAGACATTACCGGACCATCATTGCGCCTAAAGGAAGACCAATAATAGGTCTACACGATGATGGGCAGCAGGCACGGAACGATGGTAATTTTGTGACCCGGAATAAGGCAACCGGCCACGGCTGGAGATGAAAGAGCTCCATGAACCCAGCCAGTATCTTCTTCCTCAGATAGCCAGGTTCTCTGTCCCATATCTGGTCTTTCCAGCGTCGACAAAGAAATAGGTCGACAATAGGTGAAACGAATGTTGCTCATAGTAAGCTAAGTCTTACGTACATTGGAGGGGCAGCGAACTGAAAACTGTACAAGTTGCGAACGATCTCATCGAAGTGAGAGAAGCGGCTGGCAAAGGGTTGGGCGTGTTTGCGAAAACTAACGTTCATCTTGGCCTGCGATGCTTTTTGTCATCGTTCAATCTGTAATTAGCAGATGCCTTTCGTGGCTCATTCACTGGAGGTTACACCCGAAATTGTCGAGCTGTGAGAATTGTTCTTTTATATAATTATAAACGTAACGTGTCACTTAGCTAATATGAGCAGAAAAGATTGAAGGAAAGCGTGTTGCTTATCTAGTGCATTAGCGACTCAGTGAGATGAGGAAACACGGCGAAGTTCTATAGATACGTTGCGTGTGATCAGTGGCCGCATGCCAGCGAGCGGTTCAAGTCACGCGGACATGAGATTCAACTTCTAAGGTTACAGAGAGATCGCGACAACCCTCGAACAGTGATTCAGGAGTCAACGAAATTCGAGGGACCCCACCGCCAGTCTCAACACAACTTCCAAGTGCCACCAAGAGGTAGAATCTCAAATCCTAAAGTAGACAACAGAACAGTCCATATGCCGTCGTAGCTAACACTGTCACTGGCAGGGATCTTCACGCAGGACCGAGGCACAGCCTTCAAATTAACCGCCTGCTTCTCTGCACGCTGAAATCGTGAAATGATATCAAAGCGAGCGATGTGTGGCCACTGATGACACTCGCTGCGGACAGAGATAGAGGTATTCTTCATATTCTGCAGTTTAGCTCGGCAGAGGATGCACAGGATAAAATCTGTAGGTACGGCTCCAGACTAGAGACACGTAGAGTAATCAGCTCGATTCATTTCAATGGCCAGATTTGTATCACTAGCATAGTGGTCAGACCCTGATCAGGAACCTCTTCGCTGACCTACCTACGTGAGGTCAACTCCCTGCGACCACAGCGGAGGCTCTAGTTCTAGTCATAAATGACGGTTAGATAAGGTCTAGAGCTGCTGCATTAAAGTAACAAAAAACCAAGACTTTGTCAAAAGTAACCGGAAATATTGTATGATAAACGAATTAAACTAAATACATGAACTAGTGTCCCTAATGCCAAGTGTGCCCAAACTCAGGACTGATCCTACCCGGTGGCAGGTGGATTAGTAGACATTGGCTCGAAAAATAAATTGATTTCGGAGTAGCAAATTATTACTCCATAATATCTACCCCGCTCGGGGTTGATTGGCAAAGCAGACATTTCGTATAGGCCGCTGCAACCAATGCCGCATATCCAGTCCAGTTTGTACCCATGAGAATCGGCGGAAGCGTGGATCCCACGTATCGCAAGACAATGGCGTAAGTTCATTATTCCAGCAGCACCCAAATCGAAACACAGAATGTTTTCTCGCGCTAGAATTTTATTGCGGGTGACGGCGTCAGCTATAAGCTGGTCTGCAGATGCTGTCGAGCCATAATGAATTGCTGGAGTGTCCTTCCACCCGGAGCATGGCGGTCGTAGAAATGGAAGAGATGGATCATCGGTCTCGCAGGGATGATGAACATGACTTGGCTATAGTTTGTCGGTGGCCAGGCCTAGGTGCTTGAATCTCGTACAGAGTGGTGGATATTTGTTTAAAGCTCCATCAACAATGTCATCAATCCTTTGATCATTGATACAAATCGCAAGTTTGTCCACTGCCACGCACAGAGCGTTAGGAGGCAGACAAAATGTTCCGGACGGGCAGTTCTGATCTTCCGCTGACATGGACAAACTGAACCGATGAATACCACCATCCTGGCCGTTGTATGGGCTGCCGACAACGATATCACCAAGGCGGATATCATGTTGTTGCACCGTCACCGACACCGATCATTAAGATGAATTGGATACTAGGAAAAGAGCGTATCATTTGCCACAACAGCCACCGCAGAGCTACTGCTGCACCTATCAGGCGCACAAGATAATACAACATCGTGCTTCCCAATTTTGCGCAAAGTGTAAGTATTGCTGTCGCGGGCCGTCTGGAACCAGTCATGCTCTTCGTCACAAGACGTTTGAACGGTGACATATTCCTCAACCTTAGTATAAATCCTGTTGTGATATGAGGCTAGTGCAGATCAGGAACCAAGCCGCACCGTCGGAATTAAGTCCGATGCACCTATACGGACGACCCCCAATCAACTTGGCTTATTGCTGTATATATAGCCTCATGTCTCCCTCTGAAACAACAAGTCAATCTATACCTCTGAACCACAACAAATCCAACCAACAGTATAGCTCTGAGGGTCGAGCATCATATTGCGGTGGGAGGTGAAGTCAGTCCTGCAAGTAAACTCCTAAGGAACTGATAACTACCTACTTATCTAAGGTTGGGGTTTGTGGCCTCTGTGTCCAAAGATAACATAGTGGAAACGAATGATCTTCCAGATCCTCACTTCTTCCCCGCACCAAGCGTCATCTGTCATGTCCTCAACGCTTCAGGTGTTCGGCATTGTCATTTGATCATTTGGCTGAAATTAGGATAAGTCTGGGTGGCTTGTGGAACAGTGTCCTAAATAAGGTAAATTACAGAAAGCTTGAAAGATTCCCTTGGAAACTCAGATATACTGATTCACCGCTATTCTGCAATTTTGCATCACAAAAAAATAGATGACAGGTCCAATACAGATTGCAGCAAACTATTAAATAATCAGATGCTCGCCTACGAGACTTATGCCTTGGACTTGTATTAAGAGCTTTGCTTATCATTCTTCTCTGTTTTGAAAGGGTTTCTTGGACTAGAGTTGGGGACTTTGCTTTTTTGGAAAAGTAATTAAGTGTTTCTGGTGCTCTCTAGCTCGTAGAACAAGCAAATCACTGACTTCGAAAGAAAAGACATTGCATGATGGTCATCCCGACCCCTAATCAGCTCGACATTCAAACCTGCGATAAAAGGTGCGGCCTCCACGAGTATAGCCTTACCTGCGGAAACCTGCATGCACTGCCCTTCGATATCCTTATCTACTGCGCCAAACAAATCATTGAAATCACTCAAACGACGAGGACGAGAGAGAAGCTTTATATTCTGAAGGAGGCCGCTCTTATAAGGTGCGACGGGACGCTGGTGCTATCTCTTAACGTTGACACTAGATCTACTAGTCGCAGCGTTTTAGATGGTGGCATTTTCGAGTTCCCTAATCGCGTTGCAATCGAAATGCTCTTGAATTGGCACTTTTGTCGGTCGGAGTGGATAGAGAAAAACCCCGACGCGGATACCAATGTGATCAATACTGTTCTGGACCTTGTGAGTGTTCTGGAGCTTTTAGAGAACTTGCATATTAATGCAAACCTCGATATCTCTCCAGTACTGGAAAATCTGAAGATCATACCCATCAGAGACCTCCTCATATAATCTCATCAAAGCTGGAGGCTAACAAATCTATAAAATCATTTTTGAGCGCGATTGGTAGTTCAAAAATCTTGAACTTCTTTTTGATAAGGCTGCAAATTGCCCGCGTAGCATCAAAGATGAATGCTCAAATAAGAACTCGTTTCTTCAATTTACTTGACAGGAGTGCTTCGATTAAACCGAGGAGGAAGATGGAAATAAATGTTGGATGGAAATCGGATTTATTCTAAGAGTTTCAGGCCCAACGACCGTGCTACACTGTCATTTAGTTCGGTCTATACCATGATCGCATTTCTTTCAAATGAGAATTGGAGTAGTCGATGCTGGGTGATGGTTTAAGCAAGGAGATATGTGTATGGTACGCTGATGAATGAATTGAATTGGAACGAATGTTTGCTGAGTGCGAGGCGAAATGAGTTGAAAGCGATTCTGACAAGAACTGGGGATCATATAAACCCCCTAGATGATCTCCCACAGTGAACTACAGACACTTAATCCCAGTCAGCCTGACTGGACCTCCCCCGTGGGATAGAGATCGGGGTCGAGCATGTCGTGCTGCTCATCGCGACCTTACAGGAGGGTATGCTACCTCTCCGCCGAGCGCCATCCTGGCGAGTCCCCTGATATGTTTGGAACTTGTGTAGGCTGCAGCTATGTGCGCTCCGTTGTAGCGCCTTGATCATGATTTCCGGTCATGTGTCCTTCAGCTATAGGAGCGCATGTTGTTTGCCCCGCGCGCCAGGCGAGATCGAGTGAGCGGTAAAAGCGTACCCTCTCAGCAACAGGAACGTAGACAACATCTCTGGAGTGATGTTGATAGTGTGCGACTCGTGGAAAGAAAGCCTTGTTGATCGTCTTGAGCTACTGTGCACTGGAAAACCCAAAAACTAGCTGAAACGTTCTGGCCGAGCAACGAACAGGCCCGGGCAACGTTGTCCGCGCAGTGAGGAATCCAGTAATGGCAGTTCGGCCAGTAGACAAGAGAAAGAGCACGGCAATTTTCCAGGTACATTAGCTTGATTGGGTGCACTCGCGCCGCGGTGACGCGTCCTGGGAGGCCGTGACTGAGTTGAAAAGTGAAACATCGGCAGCGCGGATATAACCTAACTTGGAGTCAACCAGACTCCAGCACCCCGTGGAACAGGGTGGGCCGGAGACCATAGGCCCATAGGACGGACCGGGCCGTCGAATGTGGATACGGTACGATTTGATACTACGATGAAATAAACGCCGGCATACGACGAACCGCGTTGAACTTTAAATGGCATCCTCGACCCAGTTGGTGGCCTACTGATCTTCCTGGCGCTAAGATTTCTTGATAGTCTGGACGCTCCCACATGTACCCCTAGACAGGAACGCCCATCGTGGTAGCATGGCACACCTCCATGGCATAGATGTCAAGTTCTAGAGTGGCCTGCTCGCTTAGGAGTACGTTCGGCACTTGCCTTTCTAGCGGACTTATAAAGAGCTCAAGTGTACAACGACAATCCTGGGAGATATAATACCAAATTTAAATAGAAATGCGTCTAGCCTTAGTGCCCTCAGTGCGCCGCTGGCCTGGGCTAGACTTGCTATCAAGTAGGGACTCGGCAGAATTACTCAAGCAGCGCGTGAGCTCTGCGAATCTTTCTGTCGCAGACTTCTCAACCTTGATTCCCTGACCCTCGATATCATCCATGCACCGTAGCGCTTGTTCTTCTATTTCCTTCGTGCAGTCATTGGCCGTAATGCCTAGGTCAACCTTATAGTCGTCGACCTGTTCCTCCAAGTCGGCTTCGTGAGTTCTGTATCGTCCCTCAATCGCTTCATCACACTCATTTAAAGCACTCTCGACAATATCACCGACAACTTGTGATTTGAGGTGCTCAATCGTCTCATCGACATGTTGTTTGAGGCTGTGCTTGAGGCGGCGCTCTAGCATCTCGACATTGGCAATTTCGACTGTCTCAGACTCGGATGGCAGATCATTGTCTTCATAATTTTTTTTGGCCAGCAGATGTCGCCGTCCCGATCGAATTAATACTTGGCATAACTCCTCATCGGAAACTCCACGGAGCTCCTCTTCAAGGGCTTAGAGACTCCGTCACGGTCGGACAAAGAACAATGCCGGTATTGTCAAGTGTCAGGCTCAGTGTTGAGACGGCCGAAACTCTTTTGACACGCGCCGGGAGCATGGAAAACAAACCAGGCGGACAGAGGAGGCCGTTGCTTTTCCGGGCTAATATACACTTTTTGACTATTCCTGGGGATATGTTCAACGCCAGCGGTGATCTGCCGCTTAGGTTAGCGAGTTCTGTCGTAATCTTAAGGGAGATAGATCCTTGGTTGGCCCTTTTATCATGGGCAATACGAAGGACAGCAAAACAAGAAACATCGAAATCGGGTGTATAAACAAGTATTGCCTTCTCGAAAACCCAGGCCAGGTTTGGCGATGCGTTGGTCATGGTGTTGTTGCAATATTCGCTGGATAAATAAGGGGAACCCTCAATGAATCGAGTAGCCCTCCCACCCGGGCTTTCGAATAGCGTTGAGCAGCCCTGACTCGCGTAAAATGTCGGATGAGTAATGATAACAAGAAGATGCGAGTAAAGTGGTAAAGCTCTTGCGGCCTTGCCCCGAGTACATGCCCAATCCGAAGTCCACAAGTGAAATCGGAGAGTCCTGTGCAGTCACAGGAATGACAGAACAGGAGACGCGAACAACAAAAAGCAATACTTCCTTTACAGGACGATGATGTGGGAAGGAGAGGTGAAGAGGAAATGCCTAGAGAGAAAGGGAAAAGGGGAGGCTGGGGCTTGGCGGGTTTGGAAATCTGAACACGTGACCGGATACCGGACTCTGGACTTGAACGGAGCTCGGATTTCCGTATGTTTTTTTTACACCCTTCTCTTAGTTTGCCAGGGCGAAAGGAAACCACGACAACTCTATTCGGTGCAGTAACTACATATGAACAACATAGAGTCAAAGAGAGATAAAACGGTCAAGTTTCTGCAATATTGTGGACTAAATATTGAGCTTTCTCGGTGCGTGAAGCCTACTGCATCACTGTTTTACTGTACGTATCGCTTTATATTCATTCGGTGCATGATCAGTGTATCTTATGAATCCACTATTATTCATCGTCTTACGAAAGTTCTACACCGGGGAAATCCCATGGTAGAATGTTTTTATGGCTTCTCTTACCTGTCTGTAAGAAGGCTAGTGCGCCGGTATATATGCATGTACCAGATCCCCAGTACCACTTTCACTATCTGAGTTTCAACCATCATATAGATTGCATAATCATAATCTGATTAGCTGTAAACAATTTGAGGGGCTTAATGCCACATAAAAGCAAGTGTGACAGACCCTAAAAAACAGTTGATTTCCCAAACATTGTGATTTGTGCGTGCCCTTTTAAGTCTCAGCGACTGTGATAACGTCTATGGAGCACTGCTACATTAATCTGCAACTCTCATCCAGCACCGTAGAAAGGGGCTATTCCCTTACGCAACAATGAGCGCAGTACTCCCGAAGCAGATAACCGAGTTGGGCATGCCACTAGGCCGAGTTGGCCACGTCAATAGTGTCAGTGACTACCGGCAACTCAATCACACTAGTCGCAATAAAATCGTGATCACGAGAAAGGTCTGCGCCTGCTTTTACAGTACCCACAAAGGGCACTAATCAATGATCTTGCAAAGATGCAGTACGAAGTGGATATGAAGAGGGGTTAAATAAAATTAAAAAGTAATTGGAAATGTCCCATTTTCTGGTTGGGAGCTACGGTTCTTACCAGATCAGATTTTTTATTGGAACAAGTTACCAGCGCGGCAAGTCTGAACTGAACCTTTTGCTAGACGACTTATTCTAACATGCAAGCTATATAACAGAGCTTTTTTCCCAGCTGGAACTACTATCCTTCTAAGCTTATAGTACCAAATGAGTTCATGTACTTGGGCTCTTGTGAGTGACCAAGTTCATTTCTTCTAACGTGAACCGAAGGGCGTCCATGGGCAGTGCTTTGACGCTCAGCTTTTCATGAGCTATTACGATAGAGCCCTACAGTCTTCAATGGTTTTTGACATAATTATTTTTCACATCATTCCCATATCCAAAGAAATTTTAGCAATCTAAGAAGCTCTATAGCGTAGGCCAAAGATAGCGCTACCGTCTGATTAAGATATTTTATCACGAGCCAATAGTGTGCCTTATGTATATATGTTGCTGTCTCTGACGGACAGTATGGCTGGTTTCCTTCCGGGTTTTTCCTGGTCGATGTAAAAGGGTACCGCCTAGACCCAAGACACATCGTCTATTTCATGATACTCGTATTATCGCCATCAACGAAAACCGCAGAAGCTATCTCATCGAGCCCAAAGATGCATCTCTGTCTCCCTAAGTGGGCGCAGTAAAATTCTCTCTAACGGGGTCATACTTATAGTCAACCGCTTTCCGGGAGAATCTGGTTGCATAGACCTACATGGCACTACGTTTAACTTGCGAACAAAGAAAAATGTTAAAAAATTTCAACTCTTTGACAGTACTCCCTCACACAGTTTATCAAGAGCTATACATATGCAACTTCGAGGCTGATGACACGACGTATAGATCTTCGTAATAATGACTGGACCTCCAATACCCAACTTTTTCGTCCCTCGGCTCTGTCCGTATAAACTATCCAATTTAGTTGACTTTTTGGGGTAAAATTCAGTACTCGGGCAGAAGATTGTTGGAATTTGTGGCTGGTGAAGACAAATTGCTGCTTATAGAGGTCTGCCCTGGTTCCTCTTCACTCGCTATTCTGCGATTTTCAGGGGTGTTGCTCTCCGCATAAACTGTTTCGTACCAACTTGGCTTCTGGCTTCTCCACTGGCTCATACCAGTCTATTAAGAACCCTCATGCTTAGCCCTGGGTTGAATGACGGAATAAGAGCAGACGCACCTTTAGAGCAAGACTCAAAAGAGCTGCTGCAAGTATCATCCATGATGTTTTCTGCTGTTGGCCTATCAATGGAATCAAACAGCTTTCTCTGTATGCAAGTTGCGTTTCACATGCGTTGTCCCCGTGATTGCGGTCCTTAAACGGCCATGCTCGATCACGAGTACTTCGAAGCCCGCAGCACTTCAGCTTTTGTTGAATTGACCGGATTGTTTCTATATCTTTGTTATGATAAAAAGTCTGCCACAGCGTCTCAACTTGGCAATGCAAGACGTTTTCAGGCAAAATATAAGCGAGGGCCACAGTTGCAAGTACTGTCGACAGCAAGGTGTGAAGATGGTTCAACACGAGAACTATGGTGGGTGATTTCGAGTCACGGGCGCTACGCCGTTGCCGGGTTGATGCTTTTGAACCCCAAAAAGAGAGCATAGCTAGTATTACACTGGTGAGAGGACAAATCAGGGTTGCTGTTGCCGGAATCCAGGTGGGTATGGGTAGGTGCAGAGACGATGTGTGCCACCAGGCGAGACTACTTGTAAGTTAGAGAGAGCTTTAGTCACTCATGAATGTTTCAGATGAATCTACTCACGCTCCAAGTACCAGGGCCGCCGTGGGAAGCTATAGTCAAAGGCTTTGGGTCAGCGATAGATGTAAACATAGCTCCTATGCTTGAAGTCAACTCCTTACCAGCACTAGAAGAGCGCAGAGAAAAAGTTTTGGTTGTCCATATACCATGATGGAAACTCCGTGGACGCACTGGGCTTTTGAGCTTCTCATTCAACCTCTTGGGATTGAAGACAGGGTTTAACCTGCTATTGATCTCTTAGGGTAGGACTCGGTGTTCTTATTTTGATCGCTTCAGGCAATCATGACTCACACCGACCCAGCCAACAGGGTTTCGCAGAGAAAAATCCGCTTGATTGGCTTCTCCGGCATCTGCACTCGACCAATTGCAATGAAACAGCAGAAGATATATTTTGGCTAGACAGGGAAAGCCACTAGAACATGTTTTATGAACGGTAACGGTAGGCATGACAGGTTATAATCAATAAAGACGCGATATCCTTGACTCATACGCGTATGAGCCGTGTGGTATTGAAAGTTGGTTCCTCGGCCGTTCTCGATCGTCAATACGAGTGCAAAGAGTGATAGTTGTGGAGAGGAATTCTAGACTGCAAGCAATGTCACTGACGAGTTTCTTACAATGATTGCAAGTAGCATGGCTGCGCTGATCATTCCCTACTTCAGCTACTATCAACGACCGCCAGTTCTTAGTACTAGAAACGGCATGGTGCGAAGGGGTCCGCAAGCATATCACACAGGGTGATCCTATTCACCGCCTCTCTCTAATTATTAACGCAGACCGTAGTCGGCAAATATTTTTTGTGATAGCAACCGAAGCCGCATCGCAATCTTTCATGAAGCGTAGTGTTTGGAAACAGAAACAATATATTCATTGCTCTCTTCTAATGCCTGATATAACCTCTAGACTCTATACCCCGCGATAGATCCGCCGGGAGCGTCACATGACCCGAAGATGAGAACTTGCTCTACGCAGATAGTGGCTGCTTTGGTTAAGCTATAACCTCATTGGATACCCATCGTGGGCACGCATATGCTTTACTTCTCTGCTTTGATGCCGGTAATGTGGAAAAGTCGGTGTGCATATGTAGCGGCTGTCGTATTCGTACTGGTTGGCATGCTGAGGGCAATCTGCATTAGCTCAGCTGTGAGACTTTCACTTATCCATGGCTGAGTGGCAGTGAGTAGGCGCCCGATAACAGAAAAAGAGGGTGCGGGCAGAGTTCCTGAGAAGGGGGTAGACTAGAATGGGCTCGGTTGATGTTACACAGACCATAAAGGGGTTCAGAAAATCTTACCTTTTGGCAAGACAAACAAAGGTGTTGGAGAAGAAAGCCGATTTGACCAGGCTTGTGCATGAGTTCTGCCAACACGTATCAGATTCGAAGGATAACAGTAGTCATGAGGCACTGATGACGCGTAAATGCGCTTCGCCAGGGTCACCATGGCAGATAGAAAGTTTGCTTTTCTTTTTCGCTCATGATCGCTTTCTGCCCCGCAGTGGCAGCCGTGAGTAAATGGTGAGACTGATTCCGACCCATGCTGATCGTTTCAACGGGAGGTCAGGGTAAGTCAATCACACACACACACACAAAGATTAAGATGAAACGTCCCTTGATGGACACATAGCCTGTTCGAACTTATGACAGCAATACGACGGCATGACTAATAATTTAGGACTGGGTCTCTATACGTCTGATTTGTCAGAGTGTAGACAAGAAACCGTTGAATGTACGATACTCGGAAAGTGAGGGGTATGCGAGTCGTGGCACAAAGTGATCGATTGCCTCGCAAGCCTGGTCTGCGGTGTATCTCATTAGACCTAACCCCGCAACTTTCGAGACTAATAGAAAATATTCACCATCAACTATACTAACGACAGTGAAATGGCTGCGACTACTTTATTCTCATGTGCGGACCCGGGTTGTGACAAAGATAGCA